ATAAATGTTAGTCTTACACTAATCAAGAAGCAATTTGTGAAGAAAAGATTAAAAACATGTTGAAAATTACAGGAAGTGGCGAGTTTTATATTTATAACATCATACTACGGAGAATTTTGTCCAAACATTATCCACAATTTTCACAATTTTCTGATATTTTGAACATTATTTCAACAAAATTAAGGTGTTTTATTATAATTTTATTTGTCAAATAATAATATCTGTGTATATTAGAGGAGTTTTGGCCCAGTGGACTATGGAATTCCTTAGCGTCATATCATGATTTTCAACCAGGGATTAAAATTTGAAACCTCAACAACTGCCAAACAAGGAAAACTATTTCAACTATTTTTTAGCTAAATCTTAAATATAATGATCTGAACTGTGAGTGATGGGATGGAACGAGACACAATTTCCTTAAGACAAGAAAAGTAATGAGATTGAGATCATGACAACAAGACAAGAGAAGATTTTAACAGAATTCCTAATATATAAATTTCACGATTCAGTTTCTGCTTTGACAGTTTTTCATTCATTTGATTTCATGTTTTGTTGCCGTTCTAGTGCTGCTTTTTGGAACCGCAAGAGATGTAACTCACCAACACGTAATCTTTTTTGTCCAGTCCAAATGTTAACACACAAATCACTCACAAGATCATTTTTCTCCGTGATTCGTCTTCTGGCGATTTTGTCTCACGAGATCTTGTGGCACGAGATCTTGCGCCATAATTCCGTAACAAAAGTTGGAAGTTTGATCAAAAGTTCCACCCACATCTTTGCGAAAATTCCATTCAAATGTTTTCTTCAGATATTTGTAGAGCATATTTTGCAGGTATAATGTGTATACAATTTTAATGAGCTGATTACAGATGAGGATTAGAGCAGAAGAAGTCAGAGTCCTGGTGTCACAGAGGTTTGAGCTGTAGTTCGTTTGCTGTGTTCTCCTGGTGCCTCCTTCGCTGCATGGTCTGTGTGCATGCTCTTTTATCCCTTAGACTTTGTGTTTTTGGATTGTTTTGTGTGGATTTCTGGAGTGATTTATTATTTATTTATTTACTGATTGATTTAAAAATGTTGAACAAGCAGAATAATATGTATATTATGTTACCTGCTCTTGTTAAAGTCACTGTATATCGTGAAAGAGAATTCCATTTGATTTGACTGGAGTTAGCAATTAGGGAACAATATCTGTAAAATGTCTGAAGTTTTCCTCTTTTGAAATGAAAGCTATGTCTTGTCTATTCATTCCACTCATTTGTCAGTGCTAGTTAGGGCTGCAACAGTTTTTTAGTAGTCCAATAAGCAGCATTTTTTTTTTATTTATTTATTTTTGATTAGTCAACCAGTCAAATGATTTTTTCTACTGTAGACAGAGAGTTCTTAAATACATTTTAACCAAATAAAGGTTGATTGAAGGCTTCAAGATGGAGAATATTTACAAAAGTGTATTATTGATCACAATCTGAAAGTATTCTTTTTTTTATTATTATTTAATAATGCCACAGTGTTTTAGAGTCTATATTTTCCAGATTACAGTTTATATAAATATAAATATGATTACAATTATTTTAGTTGTCGATTACTTGTCACATTTATTCCAATTACCGTATTTTTTGGGCTATAAGTTGCTCTGAAGTATAAGTCACACTAGCCAAAAAATGCGTAATGAAGAAGAAAAAAACATACAAGTCACACCGGACTACTTTTTGGGGGAATTTATTTTATAAAATTGGAGACCAGGAACCGACATTTCATCCTGAAAGGCAAATTATAGTAATAACAATAGAACAGAGAACAACAGGCTGTGAACGTCACATATGAACAGTTCTTCAGATAATTGCAGCATAAACAACAAAACAAAACAACAAACAACAACAAACTCTCCATCTCACTCCAAATGACTAAATCCACTGAATTTTTCATCCTAGGTGTCACTTCTGGGCAACTTCATGACCTCTGGAGGTAAACGGAGTGCCTCTTCTGTATAGCTGTCGTCAGACTCAGCATCAGTTCCAGTTAGAATTATTCTGCCCTTTCTGAATCCCAACAGGATGGTTTTGGTTGTCACTGAAGTCACTTAAATTTGAAATTTTCAGTGGTACAGAATTAATTTTGCGATCGACTGACTTGATCCCAGACAGGACAGTGGCTCTTTCTGCAGGAGACATGCGCAGTGTGGCGAAGTGACAGTGGTACAGGAGAAACAGGAGTAGCAGATACTGAGACACAAGCCTAGAGCGCCCTCTCAAGGCTCTCAGTGAGAAAATTTTAATATATAAGTCGCACCGGAGTATAAATCGCAGGACCACCCAAACCATGAAAAAAAGTGTGACTTATATTCCGAAAAATACGGTAATTGTTGCAGCCCTACTGTTATAATCAATAGAAAAGACTGAACTGAATGTATAAAACTTACCAACTGTAGCTAAGGTCTCTACAAACATGTTCTTGCATTAAGTTCTTATAATAGTTAAGAAGTTCAAATGTCATTCTTCGTACAAGTGCTATTTACACTCTCTGTTCAAAAATAACCACTGTGAATTGAACTGAGCTTTAAGAAATAAGTACCTAATCTAGTCATAATACTTCTCTAAAATGCTTACGAACATAGGCAACATCTGTGACCACCATCTTGACCCAGAGCATCTCAAAATCTGCCCATCTGCCCCTCTTTAAACCTGTCAGTAGTCATAGTAGTAGTAGTAATAGTATCACAGTGCCAAGTCTACATGCCCGTCCCTGCCAGTCCATCTGCTTTAAAACCTCTGATCCGCCCCAAAATCTCATCTAACATCAGTAAAGATTTCTACGTCTTCTTCTTCATAACGTTTTCAGACTGCTCCATACATTTGAGCTCGCTGTTAAAGGTTAAGCTCTTATCCAGACTTTAACTCTTCCTTCTGTAAGAGCTCCAACATGGATCCAAGTACAGTAAACGTGTCATAACAAATCAAGCTTCGTGATACATACTCACATGTGACCGCAGAGTGTAACGTAATCTGCCCGGTCCCCATAAGTGCAGAGTGCTCCAGTAGCCAGGCTTGCCAAACTGAAGTGGCTCTATTGTCTCAGTCAGAGTTTGGATAATGAGACTTTCTGCGGACTGTCAAACCAAATTCACGTCAAAATGAGGTTTACCTGAGTTTACAAGAGATCCTAGTTATATGGTCGCTAAATTTGATGTCTAGATTGGCTCGTGTTGGATATCGGTGCAGGCAGTGAAGGATTAGGGTTGTCAAAAGTCTTGAAAATCAGATACTAATCGATAATGAAACTAGTATCGGAAACTAGATTACTCATTTGAACAGGTATCGATACTAAAAAAGTCACATTCACAGTATATCAATATTGAAATTACGCTTATTCAAACGATTATTTTATGCATTTATTCAGCAATTCTCTCTCTCTCAAAAAAACAAACAAAACACTTGTCATTGATCATTTATGTAAAACAAATTCAAATTGAAAATAAATATGTGCTACAAATATGTACCTTAGAACAGTGTGGTGCTGTATAAAACATAAAATGAAAATAAAATAAAAATAAAATATACTAATAACATGAAATATGAAGTAAGGCATAGAAAAACATAAATATATCCAGAATAAACTATATATCCAGCTGTTCTACAATCTCTGTCTTTAGAAAATAAAATAAATATATTTATTTATACAAACATATCCCAAAATAAATTTTGTTAAGCTTTCATTTCAACTCGATTATATGAGTATGAAGATCGTTTTACACACAAATCAAAATCGTGATCAGAATTCAATTAATTGCACAGCCTTACAACATGGTAATATTTAAAAAAGTACTCTGATTTAAAGGTGCACTGTGTAACTTTTCTCATGGAGGGTCGGCAACCTGCTGGACACTATTTAGATTTTTGTTTTTCGAGAATGTTCTTCAATATCGCGTTTAGTTTTGGGGTTTTTTCGTTCTCCATGGAGACAAGCAGCGACATCTCAAGGTCAAGTTACAGGTCAGATCTGTGGAAACGAGGGCCCGCTCACAGTAATAATGTAGGTTTTTGTGGCAGTTTTGAGAAACAAAGTAACTGACCTTTTTCATTTAAGATTTCATCTTTCTTACCTTGATAGTTGGATAAATTCTTCATGGACAGAATATGTTCTTTGTGGACCTTGTTGGATGAAGATTTGGTGATGAAGCAGATTCATGAAGCTGGTGGAGAATACGCGAGACATTTCCACAGATTTTGCCATAGAAAAGCATTAACCGGAAGTGACGTTTGCCCTACATTACGGCACTTCCGGCCAGTGTGAAAAAGGTCTATGACATCTCCATGGAGACAAGCAGATGGCAGACCCTCTATGAGACAAGTTACCCAGTGCAACTTTAATGCTGAATATTACATTCTGTTGTCTAAAGAAAGAGTGTTTTTTTTTTTTACGATCAAAATCAAGTTTGAAATTTTAGTACCATGACAACAGTAGAAAGGACACAACCTCATGTGAGAAGTCTTAGAGTCTGACTAAGCTGTAATGAGTCCAGCGCTGTACAGGCCTGTGCCAAACTCACTGCTGATTTATAACGCTCTCTTGTCACAGACCTTTAGCAAAGCTGTGTTTAAGAGCATGAGAATATTGACGTACATGTCTTTGTCAACATCCATTCTGTCCACACAACAGCGGTTTGGCCCAAAGGGGAGTTTCTATAGAGAGCGGATGACAGTCCAGCCGCTGTGGCTTCTGTAATTATATCTTACATTTTCTAAAGTGGTTCAAAGTTGAGTGTTTGATTGCACTTGTCGTACACTTTCATTTCATGGGGGAAAATGTTCACTTTTATGGCAAGAATCATATAATTCAGTTCCTTGTTTGGCTTGAAGAAATGTTCTTTGACAGTTGGATATTTTTCCCTTCTACATTTAGTTAGATTTCTGAGTGCTTTGGTTTAACTGATTATCTTTGGGAGGCATGCCAGCGTCCGTGCTCATTTATGTTGCACACTCAAGCTGATTTGTTCCCCCTTCCAGGCACATAGTGGTCTGTGGTCATATCACCCTCGAAAGCGTCTCCAACTTCCTCAAAGACTTCCTACACAAGGACAGGGATGATGTCAATGTAGAAATTGTTTTTCTCCATAAGTAAGTCCATCTTTTTTTTTGCAGTCAATGTAGTATGTGCCCCAGAGTTCTGTGCGCACAGCATGGCCACACTAACCCTCTGTACTCATCTGCACTCAGTATTTCCCCTAATCTTGAGCTGGAAGCCTTGTTCAAACGCCACTTTACCCAAGTCGAGTTCTACCAGGGATCTGTCCTCAACCCCCACGATCTGGCGCGCGTCAAGGTACACCACAGACCCATCAGGAGCCTGTAACGGGCAGTAGATAAACTAAAGCTATAACTTTATTACTCCTCTGTGCATAGATCGAATCTGCAGATGCTTGTTTAATCTTGGCAAACAAATACTGTGCAGACCCAGATGCTGAAGATGCCTCCAACATCATGAGGTTAGCTTCCTTCTCCTTCTATTTACTCTGAAGCCTATTTAAGGTTGTGACAATGTGTGCTAATGTAAAATATTCTAAATGGACTTAAGGGTCATCTCCATCAAGAACTACCATCCGAAAATCAGAATCATCACACAGATGCTGCAATACCACAATAAGGTAAAGCTGTGTGGAGCTTATTACCTGTCACTTTTAATACCTACAGATAAATACAATTGGGATCACAAAATGGGATTACATCACATGAACACTATCAGAATAAATAAATACAACTCACTAGTATGTAGTACTGAAAGAATCCATTAGATGGCGACAAGCTCTTTGAATGAGACACTGCAAATGTACAAAAACTTATATGGGTACCTCCTGAACTCAAAACTTAGAGGTGCTACTCTTTGAAACTTACATAAAAGTAAATTATATACATTTTTTGTAAATGATTTGTAAATATGTGTGAAATGGCTATAATAATAATTAAAAACATTAACTTTGTGAAATGGCCTTAGCTACAACTTTCATACAATTGTGATTTATAGCCATGTAATGTTGCAAGAATAAAATGCTGAAGCAAATCTTTTAAGCAGCTGAAGTGAAGAACTATCTTCACACTAATACAACAGGACAGATATGTGTGTACTGGTGTGACCTCTGCTTTCTCTGTCATGTGATGAAGGCCCATCTGCTGAACATTCCGAGTTGGAACTGGAAGGAAGGTGACGATGCTATCTGCCTGGCAGAGCTCAAGGCTGGCTTCATCGCCCAGAGCTGCTTGGCCCAGGGCCTGTCCACCATGCTGGCCAACCTCTTCTCTATGCGCTCCTTCATCGAGGTAAGGGCTCAGGATCAGATCCACTCAGAGGACTCCGCTCACAGGTTTATCACATTTACTTTTTGGAACAGTGACATAATAACCCTGTATATGAGGCTTAAGTGCATTAAGTAAGTACGGGTTTCCAGCTGGAATAGATCTGCTCATGTACTCTCACTGAAGAATCCTGACATCTTTGTTTAAAAAAAGCCCTTGGTTGCTGTGTGCTCAGTCACACTGGCACATCATATTTTACTCTGACATTTCATATGGAATCTGTTCAGTGTTTTGTGGTTTCAAATTGAAGAGGTGCTTGCTTCCATCAAAGAGCTGTTTTCATGTCATAAACATGATGGATCGCCTTATAATGACCAGGCTCATGTTGAGGCCGGAACATCTGCAGACCACATTTCCCTGTTTCTTCTCTTCTCCCTATCTCTCTCTCTATCTCTCTCCCTCTCTCCCTCTTTCTCTCCTGCTCTGTCACTGCTGCACTTTGTTCTTCATCAGATCGAAGAGGACACGTGGCAGAAGTACTACCTTGAAGGCGTGGCTAATGAGATGTACACCGAGTATCTGTCCAGTGCCTTTGTAGGGCTCTCCTTCCCTACTATTTGTGAGTAAGTATCAAGCAGCACATCAACAGTATCATGAGAAAATGAATCAGATTAGTGAAGAGACTTTGGTGAACGAGTCTTTGCTCTTTCTTCGGCTCCCTAAAGGTGCATTCTGTAGCTTTTCTGGTGAAGGATCCGTTTCACAATATGATATTAAACCTTTCTATCTCCATGGAGACCAAACCAGACCAAGTTATAGGTAACCCCGCTCACAATCAGAATTACTTTTTCTAGGTATTTTTGAGCTGTAAAACCACATCTAATTTAATAAATGTAAGGTAGAGCTGTTTAATGTCATACTGTGGAACATTCCAAGCAGACCAATGATGGAAAGAAGCAGGTGACGGACCCCCAACAAAAACTTCCACCTTTAACATGAACAGTTGGATTTGGATCTTGTTTTTTAAAAGAACCGAATATTTTTCTTTCCAATTTTTATGCATTTTTAAAGTGATTAACTCTGAACCAACACAACAATCAGCACAGAAGCAGAGTGTGCAGCAACACTAATGAGAGCTTTATGCACAAAAACCATATTTGGCATCTTAATAACATTTTTTTCTGGTTCTTTCACTCAGAAAGTTACACAGTAAACCTTTATTTAATATTGTAATGCATCACTTTATTTAGAGTTTCATAATTTCAAAAGGTTAACACATTTCCACACCCTTTTAAACAAATCCTAGCCTTGGTCACTTCTCGCTGTGATTAATTTGTAGTTAAATGGGTTTTCACATTGGCTTCTCTCATGTAATTAAATATAAAAACAGCCAGTCTTTTGAGCGAGTCTTTGGCATGAACCGTTCCATGAAATTCGGATCCCACAGAGGAGCCGAAAGTCTCATCGCTGAATCAGATGTGGTCAGAGGTCGTCAGTGAAACATCATAAATAAACTGTACCTGCTCGTTGTGTTTTCCAGGCTGTGCTATGTGAAGTTGAAGCTGTTACTTATCGCTATTGAATACAAGTCGGAACAGAGAGAGAGCAGGTTTGTACTCTGCAGCTTGTTCAAATGCATCCAGCTTAATCCCACTTCTAGTAGCTTTATAGAACTCTTAAATCCATCCATACCTCTGCCAAGGTATAGCACTACTTATTTATCCTCTAAATTACGGCTATATTAGCTATTACAGCTATAAACACTTTGGCTATGACCATGAAACACAAGTGCCAAAAGACATTGCTAATGGTCGTTGCCTGTTTCGTCTATTAATATAAATAATTGGTGTAACTGGAAATCCAATACCCTTGATGGAGGTAACTCTGACTCCGAACAGGAACACACTGAAAGTAGCACTGTAACCTCAGATATACTGTACAGTGCAGGTGCAGTCCACTAGCCGCCAGACCAAGTAAGAGACCGTTTTGATTCTGAAAAAGGGAAGAGACAATTGGCTGCACCCTTCCATATGTCATGTGTTCCTGACTTTTCCCAATGTGATTTAACTGTGTCCCTGTGGAGTCCAACTAACGTCAGTGTCTGATCACCGATAACAACATGGAGACTCTTTTTCAGTAATCTCAATTGCCAAATCCCACTCACCCTGTCCCGTTCACTTGTGTCAAATGTATTTGTTCACTGGCTATTTCCATAGTAACATGACGTCACTAACCTTTACTCTGATGAAGTCATTTTCCTACTGTAAATAAAACCGTAACTATTGCTGATAATTGTTGAGTTTTAGAACAATGCTATTACTAATCAAAAGCATTTCTGTACAGTGGTGTTACATTTTAAAAAGTTCAAATAGACCTTGGCCACACTTGGTTATTCTATCCTTTCCGTTATGTTAATGCTAACTGTTTGATTTGAGATCTTTTCTTGTTGTTTGCAGAAGCCGAAAGCGGTATGCCCTCTACCTTATCTTACTTCCAAAGTTCCACCCAATCTCCACCACTTTAACGCTTCTGACTTTGGGAGTTTCCCCAAGGATATTTTTCCAAACACTATCTCACAGGCCTTCTTTTTTCTAACTTTTTATGGTGTCCCTTGTGCTTTAATGCACTAACTTCTTTGCAGGCAGAGAGAGGATAGATAAATTGGATGTGTTTGTAGAAGTGCTGTTTCTTTGTCTTCGCTGTTGTCGGTGTACCAAGGCCAAACGTTCACCCTCTTCATATCTACCTATTTTTGATCTTTTTTCGTTTTGTCCTTTGCCAGTCCTTTGCTGACTTTATTTCTCTCACTTTCAGTTCTTTTTCAGTGTCGTTCAGTTCCTCCTTTAGCTTTATTTGGAGATGAATCCAACTTTTGGTGTCTAACTAATGATTCTTTGAAATATACATGGTGGTGCTGAATTGGGATCAACATCTCTCAGAGCTCACATGTGGTGTCGACAAACACGGATAATCTTTTTTATTTCATCATTTACATAAAGACCTACTATCTGCTGTAGCCGCAGGCACTGGAGATTATAGCATGTCTTTTTTATGTTTTTCATACACCAACAGCACCTCACCACTCCTGTCATTCATCTCACACATTAGCAAAGGCATGGAATTGTTGGATTTGGATAGCAATTTGTTTATCCAAAATTTAAATTTATAAATCACAGGTTACAAAATCCACGAGTGGGCCACTGTTCATTTTGACATCCCACCCCATGTTTTCCATGTTCTCCATGTCCTCCACATGTTCATCTGTGCATGTGTGTGTGTGGTGTGTGTGTCTGAAGCGGGTGGGAGAGTGTGTGCCTGTGCATTGTACATCTCTGTACATCTCCGCCCCGTGTTAGCCATGCTCGTCCGTCTCTTGAGTAGATGTCCTTAAGTGAGGTCACTTCCTGTCAGTTTGGTGTTTAAGAAACAATCCAACTGCACAGAAGTTACTGCAACCGTCTGCATCTACGTACCTGTCCCTTTAACTGTACTGCAGTGGCTATGCCTTTCTGTTGGACTGTCCTCATGCTGTTTGCTAACTGCATGCTAACACTTTCACTTGAGGTGTTTGGTGCTTGTTTTGTTGCTCACAATATGAGGTTTGGATGCTGCTCTTCACCACTTTGCACCCAACTGAAGAAAAGGCCTTGTCTCTCTAAACCTGAAAATCTCAGATTTGGGCAGCAATGTTTGTGAAAATGGAGTTGATTTGTTTTGTTCTTTTCACTGAAGTGCATGCTAAACACATGTTCAACTCTGGGGGCCATTCAATCTGCCTGAATGATACACTAATTTACTTCTGCAGTGAGGGATCACAATCAGGCCTGCATGAACACTGCAATTTCACAATGACCCCATGTGCACATGGATTCAATTGCTCCCTTAATGTTTTTGTCTATTAACTATCTGTCTATTAACAAAGTAACCTTCTCCAAAGCCCTGAGGAAACACGAACTGAAATTACCAAAACATACACAAATGCACATCAGAATAATTCAGAAAAAAGATTAAATTTAAAAAATATATATATATAAATGACCTTAACTGAATCTTCTTTTGCGACATAATTCCCAAATTGTTCAAATGCAAATTGACCGCAGCGAATTAAAGCTGCTCTGTGTTTCCTCTGGGCGGGTGTTGCTGTAGGAGTGTGACCCTAAAGGTTTGTGGGCTCAATGTTCCACACTCACATCATTGATGACTGTTGCCCCAGGTAACCATTAATGAGCCGTGTGTGTGTGTGTGTGTGTGTGTGTGTGTGAGTGTCCAGGACGTGTGTGTACCTCGTCCAATCTGTCTCTGTCTAATTAATGGGGAATGATACAGCCAGTTGAGACACTGTAAACATTTCTGAAAGTGTTCTGGAGATGTACATTTTATATTTAGTTTCTCTAGGTTTCAGAATAGCCTAATATAATGTGAATTACTTATTTAACGTGCATAATTGTTGATATAGATTGACTACTATTGAATAATGTAATGTTAATCTATCCACTTATGACTGTTCATTCCCAGTTGGTCAAATACTAACCAAGCCAACCATATATATCTGTATTACAACGCAGCCATTCTGTAAAACATATTTGAATGAGAGTCCAAGAGCTCCACAGCCATAATTTTAATTCTTTCTGCCCTCATCGCCCAGATTTCTCTGTGTGTCCCCGTTTCAGGACTATCACAAAGAATTAAAATTCAATGTGCTTCCATATCGTTGTACATTCTGTCCATCATGTGAGTAACATCCGCAAATTGACACGAATGAAACATAGCAGGTCCAATCAGGTGAAATCCCCCAAATGTCTGTGTACCATTCCTCTTGATTAGCATGTTGTGTTAGCCGCAGCGTCTCTATTCTAATAATAAGGAGCATTATGTTTCTATTTGTTTGATTATCCAGCATCCTTATTAACCCGGGCAACCACGTGAAGATGCAGGAGGGAACACTAGGATTCTTTATCGCCAGCGACGCCAAAGAAGTCAAAAGGTAACACACATCATGGAAATAATATTCAAAACACACTGTGAATATAAAAATGGAACTAAATATCTAAACTCCGCCTCCAATCATATTACAAATAGAGCTGCTAACTTGGGCAGTAGCTGGAGGAATGAAAGAGGAGAATGAGAGAGAAGGAGAGGTGGGGTCAAGAGGTTTAAGGAACAGCGTGGTTGATCTAACATATATCCAGGGTTGTAGTGGGCGTGGTAGGCGGGGTTACGTTGTCCATCCACTTTTCCCATTGTGAGATATAAAAAAATAACAAATGTAAAATAGCCTACAGCTTAAATGTCAAACTGGAGCAACTGGCAATGGTGAAAACAACCTGCATAGGCTCATGATATCTGCACTACTGTCCTACAGTGACCTGAGACATGAGGGACCAGGACTGAACCCAGGACTGAACCAGGACTGAACCAGGACTGAACTAGGAGGACTGAACCAGGACTAAAGCAGGACTGAACTAGGAGGACTAAACCAGGACTAAACCAGGACTAAAGCAGGACTAAAGCAGGACTGAACCAGGAGGACTAAACGAGGACTGAACCAGGACTAAACCAGGAATAAACTGGGACTGAACCAGGACTGAACCAGGACTGAACCAGGAGGACTAAACCAGGACTAAAGCAGGACTAAAGCAGGACTGAACCAGGAGGACTAAACGAGGACTGAACCAGGACTAAACCAGGAAGAAACTGGGACTGAACCAGGACTGAACCAGGACTGAACCAGGAGGACTTAACCAGGACTAGACCAGGACTGAACTAGGAGGACTAAACCAGGACTAAACCAGGACTAAAGCAGGACTGAACTAGGAGGACTAAACCAGGACTAAACCAGGACTGAACCAGTAGGACTAAACCAGGACTAAACCAGGACTAAACCAGGACTGAACCAGGACTGAACCAGGACTGAACCAGGCATGGACTAGGAGGACTAAACCAGGACTAAACCAGGACTAAACCAGGACTAAAGCAGGACTAAAGCAGGACTAAAGCAGGACTAAAACAGGACTAAACCAGGTCTAAACCAGGTCTAAAGCAGGACTAAACCAGGTCTAAACCAGGTCTAAAGCAGGACTAAACCGGAACTGAACCAGGACTGAGTGTTGGGATGGGCCCGGAGGTGCGCCCGTGTGGTTGGGTGACGGCAGGTGAAAGGACCGACGCAGAGCTCGTAGGCTATTGCAGGTGGGCGGGATTCATCACATGGATGACTTCACGAACTGTGTACCCTCATTTAAAATATCCCCACTACACCACTGCATATATCCACATCTGGGCAACAGGGCAGTTTTGCGTGATGTCACCAACTGCTGGAAGCTGAACGCAAACAATAGATGGTTCTGTTAAAACACCATATACACAGTTTAGTAGATGAAAAAAAGTGGGTTTGCTGTTTAGTTCAAATTTAAAGATCCTATATTACTTGACTTTTGTGAGCCTTCGGTCATATTAGAATGTTGTTACCTGATCAAAACATACATGGAGTTGTGTTTTTTTTCATTCACACCCTTTTTTATTAGTTTGTCCATATCTCCAAAGCTCAAATTGCTCTCTTCCACCTTGTGATATCATGAAGTCATGGCCACAAGATTACGTGAGACAAAATTGCTAAAAGAATAGTCTTGTGAGAATTAATTTGCATCTGTTTACATTTGAATTGGACAAAAAAAGGTTAAGCACTGGCTAGCTATACCTCTTATGTCCCTCTGGCGGGGCTCCTATGACAACTAAAATATTAAATCAAATAAATAAAAAATTGTGAAGCCAAAATTGCGAATTGTATTTCACAATTGACTTATTATGAATTACGTCAAAGTCTTGTCTTGTGGATCCAATCTCATGTCTCATCTCATCTTGTGGAAAATTTGTCTCATTCCATCCATAGTAAAGATATATTTTTTGGATTCATTTATTCTTTTATCATGTTTTTGTATTTTTAGAGCATTTTATTACTGCAAAGCTTGTCACGACGACATCACCGACCCAAAAAGGATCAAGAAATGCGGCTGCAAACGACGTGAGTACTCTCCTCGGGCCCTGTCCCCCCTCTGTCCCCTTCACACCCAAACCTAACCCACACCTTAGCCAATACAACTGTTTAATATTGAACTTGTTTATGTCATATCACTGTTCTTCTTAACTGTAGCACTGTCTGTAAAGGTAATCTCATGAAGTATCCATTTACAAGTCAATGCTTGGCTGTGGAAAATTGAACTGGTTGTAAATGTATCTCCTTAAATACATATTACTTAAAGGTAGTTTAGGTTGATTTTTCCATGTCTGTCTCTCATTGATGGACGTTGTGTTGTTGTATTCTTCCCCAAAAGAGTTGAATTTAAATTGACAGTTCCATTACAGTAATGGAAGTCTGAATCTACTGTATGTCCTGTCCTGTCCTATTCTCTTCTGTTGTTTATTTTATTTTATTTATTTAACTGTTTCTTTACAACCAGTGACATACTTTTGATGTATTTCCTTCCCTGCTGCCATTGGAAAACACCACTTTATTTTAACCCCTCTCTGGTAGTGATATATTGTGAGTAAAATCCAACAAAATCAAATGGGTGACCTACTACCCAGAGTGCAGTGCAAGTGTTTTCTATTCTTCAGCCAATAGTACACTGTATCTATGTTGCATGTACCAGTGTAGCTTCTGCATCCCTCTCCCCGCCACTCATCCGCACTGTATCAGACCAGAGCCAATCCAAAACAGCAGGGTTTAGGCTGTCCCCGAAGTCCAGACGTAGACGTTATCAGATGTGGACTAAAGCTACACTTTCTCCCCAACCTTTGACTAAACCAAGCTCACATTTGGCACCAGAGTACGCATCCTAACGAGAGTACGGACTTGAAGCAAACCTGACATGACATATGGTAATCCAACAGCCACCACTCGCACAAGAAAATTAACTACAACCAAATTGATCTGCCTTATGTCAGAAGAGGTTTTGTGTGGCTTTCCGAGAGAAGAAATGTCCTTGTGGGCCTTTTGGAAACAGGTTGCCAAAACAAAATCAAAACAATCTGGTTTTGACTTTCCCCTACCCCGAGTGAGCTCAGTCCTGGCCCAGATCTCACAGAGGCTGCAGAGAAAGGCCACTGCAGCAGGGCCCACAATTCACTACTCTTTTCAGTGCTATTGAGGGATTTAGAGATAGCGTTAGGCAACCACTAGATGGCGGTGCTTGACAAAAAAAGATCCAAGTTATTCTCCAAGTGTGATGTTTGTAGAGGAAATATAATGGCCCTAACAACTTCAGCAAAAATGCAAAGTTATCCATTTATGTATAATTATTCTCATTAATTGGGAGGTTTTGGACGCTTTTGGACAATTTTGGACATTTTTTACATTCTTGCTGAATGTGTTGTGTCAGGCAATATGGTGACCCGGTCTATTCCGTACACAGACTCCCCTTTTAGACGCCTTTACAGTGAGCCCCATATTCCTGTAGGGAGAATCTGGGCATTTGTGAAGTCAGAAGTCAGACATGTTGTTTCTATGTGTGTGTATATATGTGTGTTTTTGTGTGCGTATACGTGTGTGTGTGTGTGTGCGTCCTGTGTCACTCCATTGCTTTTCCAGTCACACGTCCAAAGCCCCATTGTTGAACTCACTGTGTCCAGCGCCTTTATAGACTCTGAAGTCACTGGTGTGAGCATGACCCAGCCCCCTGCTGCTCTCTGCCATGTGCATAACTGTGTGATTACAGTCAACAGTTTCCTCTGTCCCCTCTTTCGCTAGCACAGAGTCTGCATGCACAGCTCATAAGGCATGCCATGGGATACAACTAGGCCTGTCACGATAAACCGAAGTATTGAAACTACATTATGACACTGATATAACAACAATAATACAGTTTCATTAAGAGGTATGAGCTACAGTAACAGATTGAACCAACAAATAGTCACAGAAGTCACTTATTTAACCCTTTACAGCTCAGAAGTTATTGTGTTACGTCAAAAAATACTCCAAATCTCCCCACTTTACAAAGAAATTATACTTGAGATAAGTATTGTGTCTCAAACTATATTCTCCCAGCTCCATAGTCGCTATAGTAATTATCGTGACAGGTCTAGATACAACAGCCCCTACGAGGATCTCCTATTCTCTCATTGGCCAGTTCTCTGACTTCACGCGCAACATCTGATTAGCGGACGTGACTTAAGGAGTCAAAGATGCAGACAGGTGCTAGACAGACAGCGTTCGGCTTCTGTCTGCTCCGCACCCGGCCAATGAAAGAGCAGAGCATAGAGGCTGTTTGTGCCCAGAGTCACAGTAATCCACACACGCTCCTCTGGGACTTTCACCGCGGCCTTCCTCTGGGCTTCAAGCTATAGCAGAGTGTCACAGGCAAACAACAAGCATAGAAACAAGCAAAGGTATCGTTTGTAATAGTGTAGGTTTGTGTCATTTATGCTCAAATTATGATTTACTTCACAGTACACATTTTAATCATATTCAGTAACTTTGGCATTGAGAGAAGGAAGACAACAACAAGTGCTTATGCAACTAGTTCATCTATGTTTCTAAGCTTAAACTACAGTGTTACCAACATTTGCAATTTGATATTTGCAATTTAAATAATAGTTGTGATGCAACAACTAACAACTAATGATGCAACTAATTGAGCAGCTCTTTTGAGGCATGCTTTTTTTCATATTATGAACAGTACATCAGCTCAAAAAATTTAATACAGATGTTGCAGCTAAAATTAAAATAGTTAAAATACAGATTTTTGTTGGAATTCAGTGAGATCTTGGGTCTAGTCTAGGGTGATCAGACGCAACTATTTACCCGGGACAGTCCCAATTTTGAGCCCTGTGTCCCCTATCCCTGCAGATTTATCCAAAGCAAGTGATTTGTCAAATAAAAGAGAGGCATAAATTGTCAGTTGTTTAGGTAAAATACAGATAAGCTGCTTAAAAATGACCAAAACACAAATAAAATGTGACTATATTGTCTCACATGTTCGTCAAGAATGGTCTCTGCATAACAATTTTCCTTAATTATGCACTCGTTTAACAATTTTATTATTACCAACCACCTCAAAACAGGTATGTCCGAGTTTTTTATTTTGAAAATCTGGTCACCCTACTATTATGAACAGTTCATTAGCTCATAATATTTATTCCTTTTATGCAGGCAGCTAAAATTAAAAATGTTAAAAAGCTGATTTTTTTTGGAATTCATTGAGATCTTGGGTCTAGTCACCAGTATAGATGATCAGGTTCAGCAATTGTGAATTGACTTCACATCAAAAACTTTGCACATCAGGTTTATAGAAGCTTTATAACACACACAATGAGGCCCTGAGGGAGCGCAGCAGTGAAACGCCATTCGATTTGGCATGGACCAGCCTTTCTAGTGTGACGTAGGACTGTCACGATAATTACTATATCCATTTATCGTTCAGTATATGAAAGCTGGAATAGCATTTTTTGGGATCAGTATTTATCGTGTGTACTTTTTATTTGCACTACTAAGACATTTTTGATTACTTTTTGGCTTTATGATAACTTTTAAGCTGTAAAAGGTTGAATTAATATATTTTTTGTCTTATTATAGATTCAAATGAAGTACTATTTTTTCATTCTGCCATTTATTGCAGATCATGTTTTCTTTTCACGGTCTTTTTGATTTAGAGTAGTTTTTGTGGTTTAAATCTGCACTTGGTGGCATGAATTAGCTCCAAAATTATTTTTTATCGTCAGTATATTCCAGCAATATATCGCATTTCAAAATTTGCTATCGTGACAAGCCTAGTGTGACGTAGTTTAGCGTAATGCCTTGTTCAGAGCCGCTCCAGCTGCATGATGGGATACAGGTACGTGATCCACCCCTTTAGCCAACGCATAGAGGAAGTACAAATGTATTGACACATGTTTGAGATTTGCTGCTGAACTACATTTCTCATTGCTCCTGTTCATGAATGCCTCCCCGTCCCCTTCTTTCTCATTGTTTTGCCTTTTGCTCTGTTACAGCCTTAGCACGCAGCTTGACCTCACGAATAAAACCACAAAAATTAGTCCTCGAAGAATTAAAGTATTGACTCTGAATTTTCTTAACGAATCCCAAGCACTTTGTTTTTAGTGTTGTTTTTTTCTTGACCGAAGCTGGCGATCAAGTCTGCGTAGTCTAAGGCTTGCACTTTCTGATGACGATACCTTCCGACTTCCCCCCGGGTTGAACGATTTCTCCTTTTTGCCATTAACCTGCTGCTTTTCCTCTCCTCTCATCCCAAAACATGACTGTAGCCAAGATGTCCGTCTACAAACGAATGAAACTGGCATGTTGTTTTGATTGCGGCCGCTCAGAACCAGACTGCTCTTGCATGTCAGGCAGTGTACATAGTAACTTGGACACCCTTCAGAGAGCCTACCCACTCTCCTCTGTCTCTATTCATGATTGCGCACCCACTTTACGTGCCTGTAAGTTACAACGCCCCACACATACTGTTACATGTCTGTGCGCTGTGTATTCCGTGTACTTTATAGCACCATACTTTACTTTTGTGTGTGTGTGTCCGCGGTGTTGTCTATATTTGTGCGTTGTCTTCATGTTACGTGCTTTTTTTTTTTAGTTGTTTTCATTTCTTTCGTCGTCATTTCTGAGCGACTGGTCTGTTTTTCGGTTAAGCGGGTTCAACTGAGCTAAGTCACAGTGTTGATTTAGCTCGATGTGGTTGAGATGGGTAATATATATATATGTGTGTGTGTGTGTACTTGTTCATTTGTGTGTGAGTGTGTGTTGTGGGTCTGTGTTGTGGCTGCAGCGTAGTGGTCACGGCATGCTGCATCAGTCCAGCAGTGGTTTTGAAGCATTGGTGTTTGCTGTGGTTCTAAATGTCCAAGGTAAGGTCTGTGTGCACACTCAAATGCTTCTCACAAGTCTACTCTTCTCTGGTGTGTGTTTATTGTGCCTATTGTGTACATTCTAGGAGATATTCAATTACGTTTTGGTTTTCTTTTGTTTTGTTTTTTTATTACCAAGAACGGAGTATCTTTCTTTTTTTTGTATTTGTTTCAGAAGACTAAATATACAGTATTCATAATATCACTTCACACTAACAATCTGTTAATTTTGTTGACTAATATTTTATCATCAGTTTTCATCAATAAAAAAAAATCACTAAATAAACTGTAGCTAAAGAGGACTGATTCCAAATATACTGTCAACATTTATATTTTAATAAAGTGAGGAGCTCCAGAGACTCCAGAGAGTGGGGTCATGCTCCAATGAATCTCTAACTGAAGATAATATTTTCATTTTCAGCCTCATTTTATTCTATGAATTAATACCAAAGGAACAAGTTTGAATTATTTGTTGGACTAAATGTATCTGGAGTGCATTATAATGCATGCATTTTAGAATATCTAAAGGTAATTAACTAGATCTGTGCTAAACTATTAAATATCATAAAAATCTGTTGTGAAATGTAACAGAGCTGAAACTTTGTCCATTAGCATGACCAAGTGAAAGAAAATCTCTCAGCAGACACAGCCTTGGTCCTCCAGGTGAAATAAGAGTAAATGAAAGAGAATAGAACGTGATGGCTTGATAAAGAAAAGGAGTCGCCCCCCTCCTCTTCCTCCTGGTTTCCTCTTAAGTCAATGGGAAATACAGAATTGTCCGTCAATTAGACATGGCAGCAGTAGACGGAGCTATCAAAGCCCTGGGTTCAGACGCACAGATCTGATTTCCTTCTCAACATTCTCCCAGCGTCCGCCGCCTCAGCCCAGATTAGTGTCAAACATGCCATGATGAGTTTGGCTTGGCCTCTTGTAGTTGGGCCTGCGCTCATATCCCTCGGTACCAATTACTGGCCATTACATGGTTACTGATCTCACTCCTGCTCAGCCCCTGTTGGCTTTCAGGAAAGCCTCCACTGTCTTAGATTTCGACCCCCTTTTTAGCTCTGACTTTGTCTGAACAAAGTGAGTTTAGTGCAGGGGTGCATCGGGCTTTGTCAGGGATTGCAGGATTTCCGTTGCCCATTTTCCCTCTTTTTCCACCAGAGTGAGAGGATAAGACATCTCTATCCACTATGACCTCATCCTGCTGCACATCTGAAGCTGATTTGACTTTTCTAAGCAGAGCTCTTCCAGGAGAGTGCTCTGTCATTGAATGTTCTGTGGTCTGTGATTTAGGCCCATTCAACATTCAACAAATGCACTGAAATCCACAAGAGCCGAGCTGGACTGGCCTCTGCCATGCTTTTCTTGATTGTACAGTATAATGACACTCTGTAGGGTTTTGGACATATCTTTAGTTTATCTTCACGTCAGTGGTGGGTCATATACTGTTCTGTGACTTAAACGTGGTGATAGAAGTGTCAGTGTTTATGTTCTATTAGCATCAGTCCAGATGTAAAGTAGACGTTGGGCTCATGGAGCCTATATGTTATATGTGCCTAAGGGCTCTTGGCCTCTGGGTTATGTCTCGAGCTGATCTTGTGTGTACCGTACACATACATGTGACTTCACATGAGGGTGCATCTGCAGCTCATTGCTGGAGACCTTATCTTTCGTGACACAGAAATTATGTTTGCATTCTCATTTTCCCAGCCCTGCTGGTCCATCACCAAACTTGGCCTGACAGCTGTTGTCCACCAGGCAGGCGGGGTCCCCTCCCCAGTCCTCTGCAGCCTCTGTCCTGTGCAGCCTGGCCCTGCCCCAGATGCTAGCCCGTTAGCCCGTTAGCCTGTTAGCGTGTGTGCTGTGTGGAACAGGCAGATTGCCTGAGACAGATGCCAGGGCCACTGTGGTTCTGTGTTTGAGGATCTGTGTCAGGGGGCAGCCCTGGGCCCTCTCTGTGACCTTTACAGCTGCAAGACACTGCAGCTCACAGCTCTGTGTAGTCTGCTGCGCTGCCACCGGGACTAGCGCTGGGGCCGCTCCTCAAATAAAGTCACATTCTGGAAATTTAGTCAGTCGGTTCTTGGCAATGTAAAGATGGACTGTATGTAACGTTAGATGTCCTTGCTTTTTGGGAAGGCTGTTTTGAATAGTAATGGTCTGTTTTCTGTGGTGTGGATGTTACATGCAATATACAACATTATGTTCATCATAGTGTTCTCTCATCACATTTGCATTCTATCAAAAGTAGTCAACATTTCCAAGGAAATAACAGTATGAAATATTTCTTTAATTTCATGTCATAGCAAAGTCCTTGAATTGAAATCTCTTAGCCACAGTCACTTGATGAGTGGCGCCTCTGTGTGTTTGTCATACATCTTTTCCACACAGTGTATTTGTTGTGATGCTCTGCACACTTGTTCATTACTTCCATCCTTTCCACTCCATCACCACCATGTTGTCCTCCCCATCTGCGTTTGTAGTGCTGTGCCTCTGAATGTTTCATGACATCCTCTGTCCTGTGTGTGACCTGCCACTGTCTTTGCATTCTCCTCAGCCAAATATAAGTATAATGGATATGTCACATCACGTAAGTCTGTCCTCTTCACTCTGCTACACTTGTCTTAGACTCTAGTCTCCTCACTGTCATGTGCCTTCAACTAAATTACTCTTGTAAATGGTATAACAAACCATGTTTAGTGTGTCATAAGTTAAGTTATGATAGAATTTCTCAGTTAAACACAATTAAACAAATATTTTGTGTTTGCTAATACTGTACTGTGTAGTTGCTTCAAATATTCTTTTTGTATTGTGCTGCATTTAGCAGCAGATGGCGCTACAACACCAGGGAACAGTGGAAGTCAAAAAGAGACTGGGGTGCGATTCAAAGCCGATTGCAATTTAGGTAAATCTCTTAGAAACATTATGGTTAAGTACACTTTCTTTTGAGAGTGCTGTCTTCTGTCAAGCATTTCATGTCTGTGTAATTTCTACATAATAATTCTCCTTTAATCTCACTTATACTGAGCATAGGGACTTTTCTGTTGATTTCATCCTATACTGTACCTACCAGTATAGTGGCTGCCTCTTTAACAAACTAAAAGCAATTGCCATTTCATTTAACTGAAGAAGAAATGCATGGGCTCAACACTCTTTCATGCAGGGCCAAAGCTTGCTCACGCAGCACACACTGTAGCGGCAGGGCCAGCTGAGCTCTCATACCAAAGTCCACATTTTCCAAAGCTATTCCTGCGCCCATCATCCTCTTGACTTTGGGTGGGGGCGATCGGAGCCGGCGTGCGTGCAGGACAGTACCATCATGTGATTAGCATTTGAGGAAGGGACAGTTGCCGTCTGGGTTGTTCAGAATGCACAGTGGAGCTGCCAGGGCGACTGAGCGCGCTCTAACGCTGCTCGTGTTTGACAAGGGCCAGATGAATCCAGGAGCTATCGGTGGCGCCCCGTAAATCAAGGAGGCAGCTGACGGCTGGGATAAACGTCTGTTTATCGCCCGGGGCCACCCGAGCATGCTTTTTCTACCAAACAACCACCGACCACCCTTCTACCACAGGGAGGGACAGCCACGACTATACTCCCAACAAGCACTCAGAGTGCTCCTGTGTGTGTGTGCCATGAGCACAGAGATATGTGCAAATATAAACATCAGCACTTCATACACAATGCATAGGTCAGTGCTCCAGTGCTGTGCAGAGACAAAAGGAAAATGTGCTGTTGTGTTAACTCATATGACACTTAATGTCATTTTTGATGGAAAAAAACAATACCACAAATTAAACCTAAACTATAACCTTTATAAAGTAGTGTATGTTTATGTATCTAAACATATCTATCTGTTATCAACAGGAATTTGACTAACAAAGTGAAGTGCATGAAAACTGAGTCTAATTGCACCGAAGAACTTTCGTTAACCTATCGCTGAAATGACACCTGCAAATTTCTCACATTGTTATTCTTCATTGTTTGACAGTAAAGGAGGAAGTTAGACCATCTTTTCAAAACCGATCTATTAAAATCCCCGGGTGCACCTTCACAAATTCCTTGGTTCCCAACGCGCAGCACCCCAGCCAGGACGCCCTGCTCGGCCCCAGCTCTGCAGACATCCCTCTTGTTAATAACCGTAAAGGAAGCCTGCTCCCTGCGGGCCCCTGTGAGCCCGTCCAGCTGCGCCTCAGTATCTCAGGGCCGGGGCCAGAGTCCGGGGCACGACTCCTGGTGGAGAGCCGGCTCAACCGCGCCCGCAGTCTGCCGGTGAAATACCGCTACCACCCCAGTAATGCCATGCTGCACAACCAAAGTAGGCACTGCAGTCCCCCTGGGCATCAGGGCTGCATCAGTAACATCTGCCTGAGCATGTCCTCACCTCAGAGCTGTGCCTATGCTGCTGTGGAGGCTGCAAGTCCATCTACTCACAGCCTGCCTGTGTGCCTTTCTTACCAACACTAGGATGGATTATTATCTTTGTTACTTCTGATCTTATCAAGTAGACATGTTTGTACAAAGACACTGAGCAGTTGCCTATAGCATTAATTTCCTGATTATTTTCACTACATTACACAGAAATATTGTTTGTAAAGTAGCAAGCGTTTGTGACAGTAAGTATTGTGAATGCCCCTTATATAAAGCAAATGTCACAGGCTGACATTTTATTAGGAGGCAGAGTCATGTTTCTTATCTTTTATTAGCAGAATTAGGTGACAGCTGAGAATAGGTGCTCAGACAATAATGAGATTCCACATGCTTGGAATAGTGAGGGCTGCCGGCGCACTCATTGATTTACACTAATATCATGCTGTGTTATTGATTTCTAACCAAAGGACTGATCCGGGTTTGAAGTGACGCTGCTCCTGGCATTTGCACTGGGAGAGGGCAGGGTGGATGCGAGCTCCTGGGTGCCTGTCTAAACGCTGTTGAAACTCCCAGACAGTAGTGAAGATCAGACTGCTGTTAGCCTGACTGAAGTCTGCAGACGCTCAGCCCACGGCCTCACTGCGCCTGCTCTGTCTAGGACTCCAGCTGGAAAAGTTTGAAGACCAGATAGCCTTTTCTTCTATTCCACATCAAAGTCTTACACGGTTGACAGGAAATTCATCTCAAGAATCAGTGCTCCAACAGCATCAAACAAAAACTGTCAAATGAAGAGAATCAGTGTTACTCTATAGACCTATTTATTTCTCAGTGTAGTCTTGACCTTCTCTTACTGTACGTTGATTTAATATCCACTACTAACTGTGCCCTAATTTGTCTCATGCTGCAGTTTAATAATAAGTGCTTGTGGCATGGAGGTAGACCTGTAGAAGAGCCATTCGTGTCCAAACAGGAATGATGCGTTTGGAATCGGAATTTAAATCCAAAAATCACTTTCAACACATAAAAAATTCCATTTCCATAACATTTATTTACCTCACCTTCATCGCTTTTGCTCACGCCCTCAACCAACAGCGCAGTCTGAGTCATCACGTTTCCGCAATTAACGCATGAATCCTCTGATGCAGACTGCTGGGTCCAACCAGCCGTACCATGCGCTCGAAGTCTTTTAGCGAAGGGCCCATTTAAAATCAAAATCAAATATTTGTGGGTACGGGGATGTGAGCCTTCGCGTTCCAGTTTTAAAACCGTCAATTGGTTTTTCTCCGTGGTTTCTCCTGCCTATTTTCCAATTTTTACTAATGCTTTCCGTCTAGTTTTAAAGTTTATTTCCTCCTTTTGTTGTTCTTTTTTATTATTGCGATGATTGACTGACAGATTTCCTTTGTGCACATGTCACGTCCAGCTCTCTCTCTGCCTGCCCGCCTGTCTCTCGCGCTGACACCCTTTGCATGTGTTCGCAGTCGAAGATGAGCACCCGTCAACGCTGTCGCCCAAAAAAAAGCAGCGCAACGGAGGGATGCGGAACTCGCCCAACTGCTCGCCCAAAATGATGAGGTAAGGCGCCCATCCTGTCTCTTCTTTTACCGTGCCTACCTACCTACCGCCTTCAAAAGTGCAAGAAAGAGAGAGTGGAGGGGGAGAAAGGGAGAAAGGGAGGGGTAGGAGCGACTTCAGAAGAGAGTGGTGGGAGTAGGGACGGGAGGGGAGGGGGGCAAATTAGAGGTGGCAGGAGAGGGGAGCTAAGGAAGTCAAAAAGCAGAGGAGAAATGCCCTGTTTAGGATGGCATGCTGTCAGCCCTTAATGACAGCCCCACTCACTTCCCTGTCATGAAAAGAGGCTCTGAGAAGCTGTTTGAAAACTCCTTTAAAACACATCTGTCACCTCCTCCGGTCTGGTCCACATGTACTCCTTAAACAATGCTGGCACTAATGACACGGGCGACCAATCAGAGCAGCCCGTGCTGGTACTCTGCCCCGAGGCCCCTGCTCTATTGTGGGCACCCCCGCGACGACTGTTTCTAGTACTTAAGGCCATATGCGAGATGTAGCATCACAATCAAATATGAATTCAAATATTACCTTCCTTTTATCCTGTCCCGCAGAATTAAGCTGCTGTTAATTGATTTTGAAAGATAAAAGGCGCTGGGTTTTTGTGCTCTCCGGCGGAAAGGCAGGGCTGGCAATGTGGAACACTGAGGAGAGATAGAGAGGTCGCAGTGATACAACACAACACAATGTAGAGACACAGGAGAGGAGCCAGGCATATGAGTCTAATGAGGTTAGTCTTCTACATCATAACAAGCACACTCAAAACACTTTAGGAAGTCTTTGGATTCAAAACTTTTTACCACACTTACTTATTGACTACTCTTTCCTTTTCCATTCCATACTGTATGTCTCTTATTCCCATAGTTTTCTTGTGCGTTTGTCCTGCTAGCCCTCAGGCAGGCCTCCTCCTACTGCACTGGCATGCCTGTGTAGTTTTGTCCAGGACTGTGCTTGGCCTCCCCCTCAGTTCTCTCACTAAACAAGCATTTAATAAGCCTTCACACTTGCCAAACCATTAGCCCAACACAGAGTCGTAGCCTTCAGTCTGTGCTGCAGCAGAGCATCGTTTGAGATGCCCTTGCTCAGAGGGAGTGGAGGCATTAGAAAACAACTAGACATTGGCACATTTCCAGCGCGCTGCTTGTTTAAAGACGCTTTAGTTTGCCTAACTTAAAGTACAAACCTTTTCTTCTTTTCCTTTCTTTCCGAGGAGAAGGTCCCTGTTTGCCATGTAATATATGCATCTGGGCTTTGATCTCACACTGATAATCATTCTTGCGAGTTATTTACTCAGTTTGGAAAAGGCTTCAAAGCGGTGTCAAAGTTTTCTCTGCTTTAGGGTGCTTCTGTATTCTGCTGGCTCTTGGGTACTGGAATGACAGGTCCTCTGTTATAGGTGTAGATTTTTTCTAAATCTTAGCCCTCAGCAAAACATCAAATTACCCATCACAGTCCACAGCCCCCTCCGCAGCTACGCTGTCAACATATAACACTATATATATTAAACAGGAGTGCTTTACAAGGTGCATTTTATGCACAATGAAAAGTGATTGTTTGAGGTAGCCTTAGGGATACTTTATTCTACAAGCAAGGAGGGGGAGCCAGGCGAGAGCGAGAGGAGAGGGAGCATACGTATCAAGTATGGTTTTTACAGGACTAGCTGCCTGAAGGCCTTTGTAAATAAATAATGATCAACAGATTGGCTGTGGGCTTTTGAAAAGCATGCCTTTGTCAGTTTGCATGATGGGGAAAATTTTCAAAGCAAGAGGCTGCCTTCATAGTCTGGCAGAGAGGGATTGGGGGAGCGCACCCATCCCAAGCTTGTGACTGCAGAGTGATACACTGGAATAACTCAAGTGTGTTTGAAATATATACTGAGGCAGAGAGAGATGGAGGAAGAAAGAGAAGAGAAGAGAGACACAGACCTTAGACAAACAAGGGAAATCTTTGTCCTATATAACAGCATAACTCTTAAACTGTAATTGTGTATGTTTTAAAATGCCAGCCATGCTGTCAGGGCACTTCATAAAAAGTAATTTACAAAACATTCTACACTTAATTTCTTAATATTTGTTACAAGCCATCATGGCACCACATCTGTGTCACTCCAGGCACACCTTGACAATGGTCCAGGGGCAGAGCAGAGTGCGGAGCTGCAGTTTGGGCGTGGCACCAGAGCACCAGTGTGACGTGTGCTTCATCAGGAGCAGCACAGACACAGGAGGGGAAGTGAGGGCGCCTCTGACAGCCTGCCACTCAGACTGACAGCTGTGTGAGAGATAGCTGTCTCTGCAGAGAGACAGAGACAGACAGAGAGAGACGGAGAAAGAGGGGGAGAAAGAGAGAGAAACAGAGACAGAGAGAGAGGGAGAGAAACTGACAGAGAGAGAGAGGAGCAGAGCCCGCCTGTGAGCGCCCGTCAGCCCTCTGAGCGCCTGCCCAATCGCACACTGGAGTGACGCAGCCTCGTCGACTTGATTGGCGCAACACGCAGCCGTGGATGAAAGATTGAGGCTGAGTGTAAAAACACTAAATGCTGTCAGTGTTATTATCACCTGCACAAACCGATGGAGAGGAGCGATGGAGAGAGGGAGGGAGAGAGGGGGAGAGGAGCTAATTGACAGCTTTTTTAACTTGAACTTTTTCTGCGAAGCATACAACCCAAATGCAGAGAGAGGAAGAGCACATGAAAGGCTTGTCAGACAGTGACAGTGTTGATAGACGATAGAGGAGTGATACTGAGAGAGATGTGTGTCAAAGTCTGGAGATGTTTTCTCCCATTTCACTCAAATGTCTGTCTCCAAGCACTCCCCACTTTAGTGTCAGCCTGCTATAACTAAAGATTTAGATTCCCTGTATTATGAATAAATGGTATTGTAGTGAAGTAAAAGTACATGATAACTGTATAGTGTGTTGTAAGTGCAAGGTGTTATGAGCTGCCTGAGCTCTCACAGTGCCAGTGCATACAGCTCCAGGATCAGGCCTGACAGGAGCCCTTTCATGGTCACTGTTACAGCGGATAAAAGTCAACAGCCCACTGCTCTGGATTAGCCTGTTTAGTTGTGACACACTCTTCAAACATTCATGGCCGTCAGTTGGGAGAGCAAATGTGATTGGGCAAATTCCTGAAATATTTAAAGTGTTTGAGCCTGTAGGAGCTATGACTATTTACGCCGCACAGACTCAAGCACTGGAGGAGACGCTAAGAGCTGCTAATTGATCTGTGTTGTCATGTCGGTCAGGCAGGGGCACTCCAGTGCACTGTTGTCATCTGAACGGTTACTAGCAAAAGATGTAAAAAACTAAACTAAATTAAAACATAGTGATGATAATAAAGTCCAATCTTGATCCAATTTTGTTTTCACAGCAGACACGACCCCCTCCTTATTCCTGGAAACGACCAAATCGAAAACATGGACATGAGCGTGAAGAGGTATGATTCGACGGGAATGTTTCACTGGTGCCCGTCCAAAGACATCGAGAAGGTCATCCTGGTGAGTGGCCAACGCTGAACCCTCCCATGATCACCAATGTAAACGTTTGTATCGCCAAGGCAACGGAAGCCCACTTATAACATAGGAGTGCAATCACATACTAATTTATATTGACATTTCTCTCACTGCCGCTCTGTTGTTCCAGGTGAGTTTAATGTTTTCTGTATCGGCCCCAGCATGTGTGAGGAGACTTCCACACATGGGCTTGCGTATATATTTAAGGAGGCCGTTTTGACTGAATTATATTATTGTTTACATGGATGCTGTGTGGTTCAAGATTCTGTACAATATAAGGTTTTGTCTAGCTATATTTATTTTTGATGTCTAGAACTACATCGACTGTAGAGGCGGGCGAATTATAATATTAATTTCTTCCAATAACAGTAATTAAAGCATATGTTTGTCATAGCTGAGGTTATAATGTGGCACAAAAAGTGAATTAGCGTTTATATTTTAACACAAATTTTGGAATACTACTTTTCAAGTTTCAGTTCTTAATTTTTTTTTCTAGTCCATTTTTTTTTAAATCTTTTTTTTGCAGCTATTTAACCTGTCCTATATTACATGAAATTGCCTCTTGTGAGTTTTAAACCATGTTATAATGTTGTTATTTCCTCAAAAACATACCCAGACTTGTGTTTTGTTTCATTCACACATGTGTGAGTAACCCTTGTTTATTATAAAGCTCAAAATACTCTGATCAACCTTGTGATGTCATGCAGTGGTAGTTTTCAAGTTACCAGCTACTTTTTTACCTTTCGTCTAGTAGAGATTGACTATTCTGACTGAAATAATCCAAATGATTGTAGTGCAGATGGATGAAGTTTAAAAAACACAGGGGAGCACTTCGTGTACTACCACATGACATCACAAAGTGGAACAGAGTGACTTCAGTTTGAGAGAAAAACTCAGCCTAGATATGCAGGGTTTGGGTGTTAAACATGTGTGAATAAAACACAACTCCAGGTATGTTTTTGATCGGAAAATAACAATATAACACAGATCAGAAAATAGTGTAATATGGGCTTTTTAAAACAGACAAAACACAAAAAATCTACTTCACTTTTGATTTCAAGTTACAGAAGTTACATCGCCCACCTCTAATTGACAGTCGGTGCTACTTCTTCAGCTCTCCTCTTCCTAACGTATCTCCCCACACCTCCCCTCCTCTTCCTCCTCTCTCCCCCCGTCTTCTCTCCCCCTCTCGGCAGACGCGCAGTGAAGCCTCTATGACAGTGCTGAGCGGCCATGTGGTGGTCTGTATATTTGGAGATGTCACGTCCGCTTTAGTGGGGCTGCGAAACCTGGTGATGCCTTTACGTGCCAGCAACTTCCATTACCACGAACTCAAGCCCATAGTTTTCGTGGGCTCGCTGGATTATTTGCGGAGAGAGTGGGAAACTTTACACAACTTCCCCAAGGTTTCCATCCTGCCCGTGAGTACCACCGATACTGCAAATACTTTGACACTTAGGCAGGTGAATGATGACTGTATGATAACACCGAAAGCCCCATCTTATTCGGAGCGGGCCTTTCCCCAAAAAACTGTAGCTGCATTAGGCTCCCAGCTTGTTAGGCTCGCTTCGATTGAAGTTCAACAAAGTCTCCCTACCACAGCCCTCAGCGCACACTAGCCTTTAGATTAGTGCCCGTCTCTGCTTCTCCCAGTGCCCAGTCAAATCAGCGGAATGTCAGTGCCTCACAACAAGAAACACTTGCTAAATAATTTCCCCGAGCTCCACCCCGTTCTCTTTTTAAATGTGTGTTTTTTTTTCTGTTCTGTGTTCCCCGCCTGTGCGTCTTCTCTCTCTCTCTGTTGTGCTCACCCTGAAGGGTACACCATTAAGTCGGGCAGATTTAAGGGCTGTCAACATCAACCTCTGCGACATGTGCGTTATACTGTCAGCCAATCAGAACAATATCGAAGACGCCTCACTGCAGGATAAGGAATGCATCTTGGCATCACTCAACATCAAGTCTATGCAGTTTGATGACAGCATCGGAGTCTTACAGGCTAATTCCCAAGGTAAGAAGCGCCCTATTATAGCCCGTGTGCTCCTCTGGCCAAAGGGGACAGGTCGTGTCAGGGAGAAAACACACAGTCAGAGATATAAAAAGAACAGCAGAACAGGGGATGAGACGGCCACACCAGGAGTGCACAATGTCAAACACATGAGCCCTGCTTTAGGTAGTAACAATGTGTGACTGCTTCATCAGTACAGTACTCTGCAGTCTGCTCCCTGGTCATTACACGCTGCTAAAGCTCTTTAATAATACTTTTAATGATGTCATCAACACGACTGTGTCATCTGATGTTCTCCACTAGATCTGCAGTCTGGCAGATCTAGTCTCGAGCAGATTGTTGATGTTTGCAGACATCCCATCAGGCCTCATCATCATTAAGCACCAGTACAAATCAGCAGGCAGGCCGCCTCATCTGCTGCTCATTAGTCAAAACAAAACAGGCTGGCTCTGTCTGTGTGTGACTGTGTGTATCTATGGGCACATCACACAGGTAATCCACTCTTTATGATTAGCCCGAGAGCCGGGACACGCCGCTAGCTCTGCACTATTTAGTGCCGCCACACTGACTGCTGTAAATACAAATCAAAGTGAAGATCCAGGAGGCGATTATTTTTTAGTGCTGAGCACTTCCACATGTTTTAGGAGAATGCCAATGCTGTTATTCCTCCAGCCGTGAGTGAGTGATGCTCTGTCAATAGCACAGGCTCAGAGGAACAATAAGAAGCTAAATCTGAGAGCTCAGCGCTCTGGGGAGCACTTTTCACACAATGTCACCTCAGCAGCCCGCGTCCTCTCACAGCCGATGGATGGGGCCTATTGTCATCCATAATTGGGTCTTACATCAGCTCCCCATTTCAGTGATAAATACTTGACTTTAAACACACATAGTCTACTCAGTGACATGTAATCATGCACAGGGCCAGACACACTGTATCAGGCTGTACTAGTGGGACTCCTTCCTCTTGTTCCTATTATTCAGACATAGTCTGCAGAATTTCAAACAACAAGGTGCAAATGAATAAGTAAACATGTGTTCTCCTGAGGCTGTGAGCCTGTAGTGAACCAGAGCTGAGCCCTGTGGCCACATATCACTGTACATGTTAAATTACTGTTCAATAGATGATGTTACTGAGGCGCAGGAGACAGTGAAGTTATGAGAAATACACTTTACTCTGAACAGTCTTATTCTCTATTATATACCATCTGACTCCGTACAGTGATGATTCTCTTTATTTAAACGGTGCACTCCAGAGCGGACACACAGCTCTAGTGCTGGCGCAGTAGCACAGTCTGTGTGAGACTTGTCTAAGCTTGTACAGGTGCAGAGGCTCAGCAGCAGGCCTTGTGTCTCCATGTTGTGTTCACACTGCTCACACTTTACTGTAGTGTGGTGTCTCTATGGTTCTTCAGAGCTGTCACTCTGAGCAGGAGGCTCCTCCTTCATGGACATGTACAAGCTGATGTTAGCTCTGTCTGAGCTCCTGCTCCCAGACTGACTCTCGTGTCAAACCTCCGCTGTTTCTGCTGTTTCCTTGTTCAATAATTGGAATAACAAGCTTTGTGATTGCCGGGGCCTCAGTGGGCTCAGGGCTTTGGGCTGTGTACTAAACCACTGGGTGTCTGCTCGGGTGCAAAGGCCGAGCTGATCTCTTTTGTAATGTAAGCAGCTCATTGGCTTCTCTGACAGAGTGTGTGCACACTCAGACACTCTCTCCAAATATGCAATCCCTTTCAAAGTTTGTGACCTGAATATATGCCTGCATTATGTGTCCATGGCTGGAACTATAAGCTGGCATTTTGCTGTAGTCAGCACTAAATGATGGATGTCAAAACACAGCTGATGCATTATGCATATAGCATTACAGATTTAAGGTGTTTACTTGTCACTTTGAGGAAATGCAAAAATGTGAAGTCATGTGAATTCAAACTCCTGTCACTTGCACTTGTATTTTATGCTCTTGAGCCATGCCATTTTCCATAAAAGGTTTTCAGGATCCACTTCAACAATTTTTGTCGGAACAAAATGAACATATAAAATTTATGCTGCCCGATGATGGAAGCCTGTGAATGCTAAATATGTCTGACCTCTGAAAGGACGACATCTACAGTTTTCAGTCACTTACAGAAGGTCTACCTTTGTGCACTCTGCTCTCTGTGTGTCTGCACTTCACTATTACTTACACTGTATACATGTGTGTGTATGCCTGTGTGCGTGTGCCTTTGTGTCTGTATGTGCGTGTGTGTATGTCCGCAGGTTTCACGCCTCCTGGAATGGACAGGTCGTCTCCAGACAGCAGTCCAGTACATGGCTTCGTCCGGCAGGCGTCTGTCACTACAGGGGCCAACATACCCATCATCACAGAACTAGGTGAGCCTCTTTATAACCAACGTTCCACTCTAAATGTTGCATGCATCTTCATATCGATCCATAACCTGTACGCAAAAGCCGATAAACAAGACTAAACATCCCGCTGCTATCCCATCCAAGGCCGTTTAGACTTAGAAATGACTGCTTTATCTGTAAATGTGAGTATTGAGACCTTGGACACCATGTTTTTTTGAAGATGTCAGACAAGTATTTCCAGGTCTATAGTTACACCAGCACTAATGCACACGGCCTGATGGAGAGACCAAGGGATGGAAGAAAAGCAAAGTGAAAAGGTAGAAGAAGAAAAAAAAAGTGCGCCGGTTGCAAAATGGGTCCATTTATTAATAACAATGGCAGTGGCTGTATTCCCATCGGTGCAGGGACTCATGAAAGTTTCAGATCTCAGAGGGGCCTCGAAAGCACCAGAGACCGGCCACTCTGTCTCCCCTGACCCAATTAGGAAGCAATGGAGCATGAGGGCGCAGGAGAGAGGGCCACACGGAGGAAGCAGCCACCCAGAGCTGCAAAGAATAAGCCAGCTATTACTAGGGATGCACCCATACTGATACTGGTATTGAATATCTGCAGTATTTGCAGTATTGGGTATTGGTTCCATGATATCAGTTCAGTTTACTGACTGATGTAGGCCCAGGACATATCATGATGTTTGAACTTCAATTCATACAAAGCTCTTCAGGTACTTGCAGGTTAGATAGCTGTTACGTAACACAATTAGATCAATTTTGTAATAATTTTACAGTATTTTTAGAGAAAAAAATAAAATTTTCAACTACACTGGTATCGGTTAATATCAGATATCAGCAAAGCTTTAGTATCTAGTACCTGTAGAGAGGATCTATCAGCATCAAGAGCCTGGCTTCTTCTACTACATAGGCCCACGCATATGAATATAACACTAATGTATCTTCTATTTTGTTTAGTTTTTTTGCAGTATCTGAATTACCACATAGAAATTGAAGTTCATGTGGTGACTTTAACAATCTTGCTGAATTTTCAAAGTGTTTTTAGGCTTAAGAAATATGAAGGACTTAAAACCACAAGAGGCCTAATTATTGGCTTTTTGTTAACTTAAAGCACCAAAGAGCCATGGTCTAATCTCAGTCTATGGTTTAAAGTTAGTCTATAATCACCATTTTGCCTCTCACAAAGTCTGGAGTGCGAAGATTGCACGAAGACTCCTTTAATGTTTTTTTTTTTTATTACCATGTGGCCTCAAATCTGTGTAATCTCTCAGTCATATATCGCTCAGGTACTAGTCTGTGTGCCCTTATACTTGTTCTGATACAGCTCAAACTCATTCTAAAGTTATTCAGGAAAGGTTCATTTCTGTCCTGTGAAATGTGACCTTTTTAGTATCAATATTTGCTCAAATGAGTATCTAGTTTCGATACAAATCTTATTTTAGTTTAGTATCTGATTTTCAATACGTTTGACAACCCTAGTTACAGTTCATGACTTTTTACCTTCATTTTTAATAGACAAAAGTAGTTCTGCTCGGTCTAGACCACAGACTGTATAAAAAAAGTGGACTAAGCGAGTGTGACGTCACCCTTAGCGTTTTGCGCCGCTCAAATGAAGCTCGCAATCCTAAAGGTTAAAGGAGAGGAGTTTTCAGCTTGTCCAAGAAAGAATGGAAGTAAAAGGCTGGAGACTAACTGGATGTCTTGAGCAGGGAAGTTTATTTACAATCAATAATACAAGCCCGGGGGGGACTTGAAAAGACAACCGAGTATGATTTCAAAAGTGAACATAGTATGATCTTTGAGTGTTCAAGCCCCTTTGCTGTACTTCCAAAGAAGGAGGTTTATAAAGCAAGTGTGGCCAGTAGACACCAGTTAGACAGTGATATACCACAATTTAGATCAGGGGTGGGCAAACTACGGCCCGGGGGTCATATGCGGCCCTTTAAACTTTTTAATCCAGCCCACCAAACTTGAATAATAATAATAATTTACAGTGTTTTAAAAGTCATTTCAATAAATAGTAAATACCATGGGACTTGAAAGACAGATATTTTGTTGTAATGATTGTAATGATTTTCAATGATGGGATATTTTCAATAACATGGGATATGTTTTCTACATATCCCGTGTTATTTTTTTTTTCTCTTATAAGGTGGATTACCAAAAAACTCCATCCATCTGCTCCTGGTCCGGCCCTTTTGGCAAATTTTAGAACCCTTTGTGGCCCACGAGTCAAAAAGTTTGCCCACTCCTGATTTAGATAATGGTAGGCCAATGATATGTAAAGGGAAGATCATGGTGGAAATATAGCCTTTGTGAGTCAATGTTAAACTGAGATGTACCTGAAAGATAAATTACTTACATTCTTTTACATATATTATGAATAGGATTTTTTTTTTTTTGATGGACAGAATAGTGAAAAAAAAAAAACATCATCAAGGATCATGTAAAGCGGGTTAAGACAAACATTTTAAGACCTAAAATGACGAGGCTCACTGCTGCAGTTACAGAGAGAGGGACAACAATATTCTAATGTAAATGAATGGGAGCCAGCCTCAGAAGGAGCCAGAAAAGCCCACATGCAAACTTCCTATTTGAAACGTTAGCTATGTCCATTTATATATACAGTCTATGTACAATAAATCATGTTTCACTGTCATAAATTGAATGGTAATTGACAAAATCTGACATATTTGCTTTAAGTCATTCTAATGTCTTTAAAAATACAGAAGCCGAAACCAGTAAAAAGTCAACAAAGACGCATTTTACTGTACGGATCACAGAATAAACATAATATTCTTATTTATTTATATCTTCCCGCCTACGCTTAATCTGGTCACATTAGGTGAACTAACAAGTTTACATTCCTTTATGAAGACTGGAGGTTCCTTTGTGGCGTATTTGCAGAGGAGAGTGTATCTGCATGTGTGGCTGCAGGCTCACTCTGTAATTACATTGTCATATATTGTGTGTGGAGCGCCAGCAGCAGATTAGACTCTGGTCCTAACATAAAAGCGCACCTTGTCTGTGTGTTTATGATCCACTCCGCGGCACCGGGACTTAACGCTGCTAGGTGCGCTGTGGATAATGCGAGCGCGTTAGTGTGGCCTTTGTTCAGCCTAATCCAAGCTCCTCACTTCTTCTTCTTCTCAGACAGGCGTGATGTGGGTCAGGAGCCCAATCCCTATTTTTGTTTTCTTTTTTGTTTTTTCCACGCAGAATCTTTAAGCATGTTTCAGTAACAAGAGCGTCTCTCCCCCTGCCTCCCCCTCCCTCTCCACACTGTCTCATCACCATTAGCTAAACCTGGCAAACTGCTGCCACTGGTCCCACTCAGTCAGGACAAAAAGAGTGGCACCAGCGTACAAATGATAACAGAGCTGGGTAAGGCTTTGTCGCGCCCGCTGCTGTCTCGCCTTGCCCACCCGCTCGCCCGTCGCCCGGCCCCTCTCGCTCCTCAGCTTGTCTTGATTTATCTGGCTGCACTCAAGGCCCCGGTCGCTCCCATGCCTTCCCCTTTGAACACATTTTTTTACTCTTCGTTCTGCCTGAAATTGACTGTCTTGTTTTGGACCCCGTTTAATGATTTTTTTTTGTTCGTTTTTTTTTTTTTTTTTTTTTCTCCTCCAGTTGTGTCTGTAGAGCGCGGGCCTTTGATCACGCTCGGGCTGTCCTTGTGGCTGTTTTCAGAGCAGCTCCTCTTTTGCCCCTCTGCACCCCCCCTCCTCCTCCTCCTCCCTTTCCTCCCCCTCACTGCTCCAGCCCAGGACTCCTTGCATCAGCCCCTTGTCTGTTTGACTGACATTTCTGTTCCACAGTGCACGGGAAGCCTGAGAAGATATCACATTTTTTAAATAAAGGGGGGAAAACTGAGATCAAACCATCTTTTAAGATTACTGTGTATTTTTAACAGTTTTTTTTAGTCAGTGCTGCTATTTTTTATATATAGAGGTGCACTATGTATCTTTCTTGTTAAGGGTCCCTCACTTGCTTGTTTCTATGGAGATGTCATAACTTTGCCTGGAATGTACTATTGTTATTAGCCTGAGGTAGAAACCGTCTGACCTTGCAGCATTAGGATTTGTTCACTCGACAGTAGGCGGGTACTACTTTTTTTAATTAACCAGTCGCTGCTATTTGGTCGTGACGTATGTAATGCACCACTAACGGGGCTAACTGGTATATTAAGCTTTTCCCAAATCCTGTAGGAAGAAGGGCATTAATGTCTTTACTTTTGATAAAATTCACCAAACATTCTCTTTGTTCTGGCTTTAAATCCTTGATCTTGGGAATCGTTGCCAACACAGAATGAATGGCTCTTCACCCAAACTCGTACTTCCGGGTTTTTTGTGAACTGTCTAGTGTATTCTGATTCCTGACCTAGTCGCTGGAGAAAAATTTAATTGGTGGAGGTAGGTGGCGCCGGTCTGGCTACTATGTTACGGCATTTAACCAAGGGTCTCCAACCTGTAGCTCAGGAGGCACCAGTAGCTCTCCACCCCATTCCAAGTAGCTCGCCAAGGTATTTCTGAATTATATGTATTGTGCTGAATAAGTAAAATTTGATCAATTACCATTGTAAATCTACCATATTAATGCCCAGTTTTGTGCACTAATAAATAAATAATTTTATATTTAAAGTAGTTTATATTTTATCTATCTAACTGTCCCTAATCTAAGATGTGGCTCTTATATTTACTACATTTCTTGCAACTTATAAAACAAGTAGCTCTTTGGCATTTTTGTTATGTAAAAGTAACTCACCAGAAGAAAAAGGTTGGAGACCCTTTCATTAAACATGTACATCTTGCATTTATTTCTTTGCTCAAATAATACCTTGAAAAACCTTTCTAGTTGTGAGCAGGATTGCATCTCCATAGATCTGACCGGCTCACCTCCTTGTCTCCATGGGATGACAGGTTTAATTCTCTATTGTGGAACATTCCAGGCAAAGTTGTAACCTCTGTATGAGATGAGCAAGTCGCAGATGCCCAAACAGAAATTCCACATAATCACCTTTAATGCTGGTTAGGAGGTCCTTAAATTGTCCACTTCTGTTAAAAAAAATGTTAAACCTAAAGTTAAAAATTAAATTCTGTGAAAATGACAAAAATTTCAACTACTGCTTTTCGTTTTTACAAATTAAGAGTTAGTAAGAGACAAAATAATCATAAGCTGCTTTCACACCGGAGCTCTTTAACACACTGACAGGCTTTGTGTAACAATAAGAGACTGTGTTATGTGCCTTGGATTTGATTTTCAGGAGAAAGGTAAATGTTATACTTAAGATAAATGTGGCTTGTATTGACGTGAAGAACTCATTTATCAAGAACATAACTGAAAGTAGCATGACTCTTACTGTGCATGACTCTTATGCCGAGCCATTGTTGAAGTCTGAAAATCTCTCTATCATTTTCATTTCACTCAGTTTAGTTCCTGGCACTTAACTTTTATAATCTCTTGTGTGCCGATGTGTCTTGATGGAAACGTTGTACATTTTGTGCTAGAATTAACATTGCTGTGTTTGTAAAATGGTCAAGATAGTCAAGATACATTGGCTTAAGGTGCAGTTTATACTTTGCAGTGACATCACTCTGGGGGTGTTCTTGCATCTCCACTGGTGGATTCTTCAGCAGTTTCCATGGTGCCACAAAGCACGCACTAGCATCAATGACAAAAAAAGATTTAAGATCATCTGAAAACTCAAGAAAAGATAAAAAATAGATTCAAACAGCGCATTTTCAGGAGCCTGTGATCAGTACGAGAGTTCTGTTGGTCCTGTTTGGTTGTTTGATTTTCAACTAACTAAAAAAAAAAGCTGTTTTAGTTCCACCCGAATCGAGCTCAGATTAAAGTTTAATTTGAGCCTCACCCCCAGGGAACATTGATGTCATCTGTTGCAAAGTATCGATAGTCAATTGGGATACTCCATAAATGACTTCTACAATGGTTATTAAGGTGTATGCTTTTAATATATTGATATAAGTTCATGATATGATATTTTGGCTTGTATCAGTGAATGAAGTGCACTGTGCATGTGCTATGACAATAACCATGATGTGATACTGTATTGTTAGATTAAACAACATTTAAAGAGGGGGTATTATGTCAAATCGATTTTTTTTTTTTAGCTTTCTACCATATTATAATCTTGTTCCCTCATCAAAAACATGCCTGAAGAGGTTTCAGATATCGTTCGTGCAGGTTTCAGTCAATTATCGATCACTCCCAGGCCCTTTTTGCCTTTTCGCATCCTCCTTATGATGAGCTGTAAGATTCTGTCCAAAGCTCCGCCCACAAACCTACATCGTCCATACTCTTGAAAATTCAATTTGCAAAAACACAATACACAAACTTGACAAACATGATGCGATGTGCAGTAATTTCAACAGTGGGATGCATGCGGATGGTGCTCTGAAGGGGTGTGACTTAGCATAGAGAGTAAATTGATGGGGGTACGCAAAAACGAGAAGTTGAGAGCATCAAAAACAAAACTGAAATGTATAAAACCTGTTAATACATTGATTTCAGATTTTAGAGCATTTTCAAAACAATAAAAGGAAGCATGGTGATCTAAATATGTTATGTATAGAAATAAAATACCTCCTCTTTAAGAAAATACAATAGAAAATGACAACCAAAACACAAATGTATTACTAATGAACTCTACAAGGTACAAAAATGAATCCTTTTTGTTATCAGTTGGTCATGTTAAAAGCTTGATGAGGTATGGAAATGGAGTTATGCTGAACTTCTGCAGTCTATTCTCCATTTTCCATTCATTACAGCTGAATAACCGTGTGTGTGAATGCAGTCCAGTGCTGTGTGTAACTGTGTTTTGTGTCCCCCAGTGAACGACTCAAACGTTCAGTTCCTGGACCAGGACGATGATGACGACCCGGACACAGAGCTGTACCTCACTCAGCCCTTCGCCTGTGGCACGGCCTTCGCTGTCAGTGTACTCGACTCCCTCATGAGCGCCGTGAGTACTTTGAGCATGACTACAAACGCACTGCCAGATGGGAGTGAATACTGATAGAAACCAAGAGACAATATTAAGTTTAGACAATTTACAATGAACTGCCAGATGAACTGCATTTCAGAACACATGTAGAGGTTTAAAATAAAAAATACACAACTCAGAAAACTATTATGATGGAGCTTTGAGCACACAACACATTTTTAAGATGAAAAATAATTGTTGCACAACTAAGGAAAGCTCAAACATAAGAGTTTGTGCCATTTTAGAAGTCTGTATTTGTGCTGCCAGTGAACACAGCTATGCTCAGAATCATTGTGCTCAAACGGTTTCAGTGGTTGAGGGAAGTTTAATTTGTAGTTGATTTGTACTTGGACTGAAAGCTCATGGTTTGGATGTGGAAGTCAAAGCCAAGCCTCAAAACAGACGCATAACACATAAAATAAACCCAATATCCTGGTTGAACATAATAGTGTGCAGATCAGACCACAGCCCAGTGACATCAAAGAGAAAAGTTGTCATGACTTTATCTGCTGTTAGTTGATCAGAACTCTCAGTATGAGGGGTCATCAGGTCTGAAGACTGTGGGACTTGTGAGGGTCATATTAACGCTGATGACAGAGGCCTGACAGTCCCAGCCCGAGCAGCTCTGTCTGATCTTTGACAATGTGACTGAGCCTCACAGATAAGCTGCTCAGAGGTGTGCGCTCCCTGTGGGGCTGTGATGGCTTCATCCAGCTGCCCTCACACAGCGCAGCCCAGAGGAGAACAGAGGAGAACAGAGGAGAACAGAGGGGAACAGAGGGGAGTAGAGAAGAGCAGAGAGGAGGAGAGCAGCGATGGAGAAGAGTAGAGGAGCTGGCGTCAGCTGCTCTGTGCTGCTCTGTGCTGCTCTGTGCTGCTCTGTGCTGCTCTGTGCTGCTCTGTGCTGCTCTGTGCTGCTGTGTGCGGTCAGAGGTGAGGCCAGCTAATGGACAGTGCTCATCCATCATGAGGCTGGGCAGGCCTGTCAGGGGCCCCAGAGACGAGCTGCCACTCTGACTGTGGCGTGCAGTGACATGGCCTGTCTTCACACGGCGCAAAAGCAGCTTGTGATCGGCTTGAAGGACAAGAGAACCTGACACCCGCCGAGCACAGTCAAAGCGCTCTTTCAGAGCACAGCGCTGACATTATACAGTGAAAATACTTTAAGAACAAATCACTCTCTGCCACACTTAAGGCTTCTTTTAAATATTAATTTATGTTTTTTTTTTCATGTGGAGGAGGGTACAATCTGAAAAATTACCATAAATAGGAGCTATAGGCAGTATAACTGATTTATTGATCATTGACAATATAAATAAAATACCAACATAAAATGAACTGAAACTCTGATGGCTATAAATTTTATACTCACAGCCACTCTCCTCCTCTCTCCTTCTCTCTCCTTCTCTGTCCTCCACTGTCCTCCTCTCTTCTTCTCTGTCCTCCTCTCTTCTCCTCTCTCTCCTCCTCTCTCCTCCTCTCTCCTCTTCCTTCTCTCTCCTCCTCTGTCCTCCTCTGTCCTCCTCTGTCCTCCTCTGTCCCCTCTCTCGTCTTCTGTCCTCAGACGTACTTTAATGACAACATCCTGACCCTGATTCGGACCCTGGTGACGGGTGGGGCCACCCCAGAGCTGGAGGCGCTGCTGGCTGAAGAGAACGCTCTGAGAGGAGGCTACAGCACGCCACAGACACTGGCCAACAGAGACAGGTGTCGCGTGGCCCAGCTCGCCCTCTACGACGGCCCCTTCGCAGACTTGGGGGTAAGTGGAGCTGTAAGCAGAGATGACACTTTTTGGCACTCCCCAGCAGCACGGATCCGGCCTCCTCCGCCCGTATGCTTCTTAATGTGATGTGAAGAACTGGGATCGTGCAAAAGAGGCCTAGTGGGTGGAAAGAACAAAGCTCTGGAGAGGAGGAGGAACAAAAAAGCATAATAGAGATAACTGAGTCAGTTTCAAACTTATGTCACTGAACATTTCTGCAGGATTAAAGTATCCTAACTAAAACATCCTCAAAGTGAAGTTGGGGTTTGAACAAGAATTGGGCTAAGATCATTTATATAAAAAGTGATATTGGAAGTGAGTATATCTATTGTGAAAACAATTCCTGTCAAAATGATTTCCCATCTTTGTCTGCAAAAATCTGGACAAATTTATGAAAGGAAAATGAATCTTGGTAACGGAATGTCCCTCAACTCACCATTTAAAGCAAACCTATTATGTACAATCGACATTTTAAAGCTTTTAGCCATGTTATAGTTGTTTTGACTGACCTGGAGTTGTATTTGAAGTGACTGGTGCATCACTTATTTTCACGATGCTATTTTGCCGATCAACTTTCATTTTCACCTCCACTGGTATATGACCACTGCTCTCTTATTACCTCTTACTTACTTCTAACACAGACGTTCATGGACTTGTTTCTTTTATTACACTGTTTTAGCTCAATGTTACGATTTAAAATGTCCAAATTATAACATAATGATCCACGTGTGTTATAGATTATAACTATTTAGCAGACACAAGCTCAATAGATCTTCTTTAAACTTAAAATAATATGGCAAATTGTCTTCTCTTTTTTCCCAGGACGGTGGCTGCTACGGAGACCTGTTCTGCAAAGCACTGAAGACATACAACATGCTGTGTTTTGGCATCTATAGGTTAAGAGACGCCCACCTCGGCACACCCAGCCAGTGCACAAAACGGTATCTTCCCTCTCTTACCATCCAAATAAAATATTTTTACCAGAGTTCCAACCATTTTTTCTCTCGTTCTCTTTGCAGATACGTGATCACCAACCCTCCATACGAGTTCGAGCTGGTGCCCACAGACCTGATCTTCTGTCTCATGCAGTTTGACCACAACGCGGGCCAGTCACGGACAAGCTTCTCCCACTCGTCCCACTCCTCCCATTCCTCCAGTAAGAAGAGCTCCTCTGTCCACTCCATCCCTCCATCCAACCGGCAGAACCGCAGCAGCAAGAGCAGAGAGTCGCGCGACAAGCAGAAGTACGGGTACATCTCAGAGTACTACGAATACTGCATGTACTTTCTGTGTGTGTGTGTGTGTGTTTGTGTGCTGTGAAACTATTGAGGATGTTGTCTTTTGTACGCTGTAAAGAATGAAGCTCTACACAGTTCAGTTCTAAATATTTCTGTTAATTCTGTTAGTTTTGACTCTGTACAAGTAGAATGGACATGGTGTTTAGCACTTTTGGTGCACGCCATGGATCTAAAAGACGATAATAAAACATGCTGACAATAGGCTAATCCTCCAGCTGTGTGGTGCTGATCCAACCTGGATTAATTCTGGAGACAGGTAAAGAAATTCCACATGTCCTTGTGGTCGATTAGACAAAAAGATGGTGTGACAAAAGCTCTCCAAACAGTTTTTATTATTTCTGTGTATCAGACCCAAACTGCACTCACAAGCCTACAACTGCAAAAAGTTAAAATTTATGTATTTACGCAGAAAAAGTACTAGGAAACAATGCACACTGCAAAAAAGCTTGGCCAAAATTTAAGATATAAACACTTAAATCTATCAGAAAATGACTTAATGAATAATGAAGTAATGAAATTATTATTATAGATAAGTTATCTTAAAATAAACTACCTCTAGACTAGAATTAAGCAGTATCGGGTCTAGTAAGTAGATAATAAATCTGAAAACAAGATGAATAACCTGATAAAAGTTTCTTGGCCAGATCTGAGAAATTTGCAGTGTATTTATATAAAGAGATAAAATTGTGAATCATGAGTTTAATCTGCCTTTTTACATAAACAGTAATAATCTTCAGCAAACTCAGTCACTCACTAACCTCTCCTTTTCTGTTCCATATAAATCCTTATAATCTAAATAAAACAAAAAGCCAACTTGTGTACAAATTTTGGTTGACACAGACGCCAAAGAACTACAGCTTTCCTCAGTGAAATTGCGTAATTGATAAAATAATAATGATAATTTTACCTTAACATCACAATAACTCGTGAAAAGTCTCAAATTAAGATGCAAGATGCTCACTTTTTACAGTGTACAGCGTGTGACTTGTGCTCCATGGTCTCCACAGCTTTACCATGTGCATGTGGTCACTGCTTCAGCGACCATTACAGCATAGAAAAGATATTAGTGTCGTCCTTGTGGTGAATAGTCACTTAACCGACCTGTACCACCACCAAAGTCAGTCAGTGTGTCTCTTATATTTGTGTGTAATAGACTTTGTCCGGTTGCCACATGATCTGACTCCGATCATGGCTGTAGTGTACCGTAGCGTGATTTTAATGTGACGTTTTGCTGTTGTGTTTTGTCACTAAGTCTTCTTCTTTAATGGAAATCTGGCAAACATTCGCTAACCATCTCCATCATCTATTCATAACATGTCCGTAACGCTTTGTGGCAAGCTCGTACTGTCTTATGTGAATATAGAAGTTTAATATCATTAGCTGTAAGTCACGGGTTAGCTGTTTTAGTTAAAGGATTTCTGAAAGCATGCAGATTTGTTACTTACATATTAGTTTTGTATCTTTAAAAGCAACAATACATCTTTGCTACCAAGATGTATAGCGTTTATATGATGTTGGACTGGTAGTAGTGACGTGTGCATTTGCGGTGGACACTGTAAAAACCTATTACTTACAATAGACCACTTACCTTTTTTTCTGAAGTGCAACAAGGATGAATAGAATGGGCCAAGGTACGCAAGTTAACGATTCTGCATGACTTAGCCACCTCTACCTATGGGCTGCTTATCATAACTTCGTCCTAAATAACGGATGCTGTTATGATGAGGAATGCTTGGATGCTTTCTGGGAAAAAATCTGAAGTTTCTGAACCATGCCTCAGTTTAAGTTTTGCTTTCACCAACGATGGAAGTAAACGTGCTGCTGCTACTCCTCCTCCTCCTCCTCCCCTCTTCCATGATCAAGACCATCCACACTGCATGAAGTTCAGATGGCTCCACCTATTTCTTCTCCTCCTCCTCATCATTATCCTCCTTTTCCTCCACTATTTGGATATGGCTTTCCGTGACGCAGAGCTCCCCACATCGTCACTCGTTTCACCATTAGTCACGCCTCTCCTGATTTTTCTTTTTCTTTCTTTCTTTCTTTCTTTCTTTGGGGCTTGACTGGTTTGCATTGTGTGAGAGGTTTGTGTGTCTGCGCATACACCCTCCTTCTGAATGCTCTCCTGTCACGACACTGTAGCAGACGTTTGCGTAGAGAAAATGCATGTGTCTAAATTATAGGGCTGATTTAAAAAGAAAAGTCTTGATTCAATTATTTTGGTCATAATTTAAAGTTTGAAGACTTGGAACTATTATTTTAAAAGGTCCTACATTACACAGAATTGACTCTTGTGAGATTTAAGACATGTTGGAATGTTGTTACCTTCCCCAAAACATACCTGGAGTAGTGTTTTGTCTCATTCACACGTTTGAGTGACCCTTTATTATTTGTCGGTCTACATCTCCAAAGCTCAAAATGCTTTGTTCCACCTTTTGATGTCATGTAGTAGCTGTTTACAAGTTACAACTGTTACGACCCAGCTTAGGGTAAGGGAAGTAACAAAAATAAACCAATGGAAAAATTGAATAAATGAAGTAATGTTTAATTAACAGAAATGTAAAGGTAAATCAACAAAGCAGACTAAACATACTCTAAACTAAGATGCAAAACAACAGACAACGAGTTTTGTGCCACAAAACGGGTCACGCAGGCTTACACAAAACAGGTGGTAAAACTAAAGGATGCACAAAATTAAAACACAAGTTCCCCAAATTAAACCACATAAACCCACAAACAGAATTGAGTGACTAAATTAAAAAAGGCACAAAACAGAACTGAACTACAGAACTACACACACGAACACAAACACAAAATGTCAGTCCTGAACAGGTGCTGCCAATCTCCTTAAATAAGGGGGAGGAGTCAGGAGGTGAGGCAGGATTGGCCAGGTGTAGAGGTAATCCACCAATCAGGGACCAGGGCTCTCACAGCAGGATTCCAGAGGAACAATAAGAAATTAAAACACACATAAAACTCAAGGAACTGCAACTGTAACCTTTTGCTTTTCATAGAGTAGAACAGGGGTCTCTAACCTGTAGCTCGGGAGCTTCCAAGTATCTCACCAAGGGATTTCTGAATTATATGTAGTGTGCTGAATAAGTAAAATTTGGATTAAATGCCTATTCCCATTGTACATGAACATTTTGCTTTATTTGAGTAGATTCAACTTGACAAGTAAAATTATCTACCAATGCAATAAGTGTTTTTTTTTTTTTTTTCAGTTCAAGCAGCATTAGATGTAGTGTTTTTTTTTTCTTATTTTAAATGTAGCAAGATGTATTTTCATATTTTAAGTACAAAAAGTCTTATTCCATTGGTAGATCATTTTACTTTTACTTTATTGAAATGTATTCAAATCATGATAAACTTACTTCAAGTCATCTTAACTTGGCTAGATTTTGTTTTTTTGCAGTGTAAGTTTGTGCACTAATAAATGGATAATGGTTTATGTTTTATAGGCATCTAACTGTGCCATGTGGCTTTTACATATAGTCATTTCTTGTGACTGTTAAAACAAGTGGCTCTCTGGCATTTTCGTTTTGTAAAAGTAGCTCACCAGAGGAAAAAGGTTGGAGACCCCTGGAGTAAAAATTGGCAACACCAGAGATGAAAAAAACAACAACAAACAAACAAAAAAACACAGTGGAGCACTTCCTGTATTTACCACATGAGAAAAACACAGCCTAAATGTGCAGGATTGGTGTGTTAAACATGTGTGAATGAAACAAAATACAACACAACTCTAGATATGTTTGTGATAAGGAAACAACTCAGAAAATAGTGTAATATTGGGAGAATTGTATCTTAGAGGTAGAATAGACTTATTATTTTATTAAAAATACAGTATATTGTGAGTACTTTTTGTAATTAATGACTTTTTAAGAAGGCACTCTTTTCATTTAGAACTGAATACTACCTAAAGATGGATTATACAGCTTTTCTAAAGGTTTCTCTGACCCAGAACTGCGCTCACAAGCAACTGCAAAAAGTTAAAAGTTATCTATTTATGCAGAAAAAATATTAAGAAACAATGTACACTGCAAAATTTAAGCTATAAACACTTAAATCTATCAGAAAATGACTTAAAAGTAGTGAAATTATCTCTCTATGCAGCAAGATCATTTTACTTGACAAGTTATCTTAAAAGAAGAATTAATGGGGTCTGGGGTGGCGGGGTGAAGATGTTATACCTGGAATGTTCCACTGTATGGCATTAAACCTATCCTGCATTTTTTTTCAATTGCAAGTGGTCGTATTCTCAAAAAGTACCCTATAATAATGCATTATGTAGTGTCGCCTCTCTGCAGATCTGACCTGTAACTTGGCCTGGAGGCTTGTCTAGATACGTTAGTTGAATGCCATATGGTGAATCATGCCGGGTAAAGCAATAACATCTCCATGGAGACAAACAACCAAAAAAAAAAAAAACTTGAATAGACTAAACCAGCAGTTGAAAACAAAATTAATATTCTTGTAATGTCCCTAGTATTTGATTATGAACTTCTGTAGGTCAGGCTCATTTGAATCCAAGTCCAGCTCTACTCAGAGTTTATAAGAAGTGTGCCCTGCCCCGGTGCCCCCAGCCCTGGTCACAGCGGTAAAGGGTTAGGCGTGACGGATGGAAGGTGTAAATTGTCTGATATGAGTGAGTCCCTCCTTGCTCGTGTACGCAGGGGTAGATGGAGGACATGTTGGTTGTCCTCAGGCTCTGTTCTGTATTTTAAGTGTGTGTGTGTGTGTGTCGCCATGGCCACACACACACACATACACACAAATCAGATATACACGTGAAATTCTACCCACGAGCATCCGGCACGTTGAATGGCACTGCAGAGTCAAGGAAGTCCAGCCGGAGTTAACTACTCACTTCAGACCTGTGCTGCCTACAAACCTACGCATAGGCCTGTCACGAAAACAAATTCTGAAGTTAATAGAAGATAATATTGTACTAATAAATAAAATGATACATAAATAAACTAATAACTATATTGCTTTCTATCTATGTATCTATATCTAATGTATGCTACTGATACAATAACCCAAGAGCAGATATAAAACCCAAACATTTTTCAAAATCTACAAGATAGTTAAAAAATCATCAGCTGCAATAAATAAACAGCAGAATGAAACACTTTAGTACTTAGTTTGCATCTGTAATGAGTCATGGAAGTTATTTATTCAACTTTTTACGGTTCAAATCTTATCAAATAGCCAAAAAATAATTACAAATTTCCCAGCAGTGCAAAGAAAATAGTACACACAATAAATATTGACCAAGCTTTCATATATTGAACATTATGTGGATATAGTAATTATCGTGACAGACCTACCTGTGCATTTATGCCTTTTTACTTATCTAGGACACCACTAGAGCCTTGAAATAAACACTGGAATATACTGTTGCAACATATTTAATGTTTTTATTTATGATTTTTTTAATGTATTACTATTAAAATAAATCCTGTTAGACTAGACTTTAATGTTAAGCTACAACAGAGGCATATTTGACCTTCCATTAGGGCACTTTGGGCACTGGCTGAAAACATATAAGTACTTAAAGGTGCATTGTGAAACTTTTTTTGGTGGAGGCTCCATCATCTGCTTGTTTCTATGGAGATGTCATTGCTGTGCCTGGAATGTTTCACAGTATGACATTAAACAGCTCTACTTTACATTTATTCAATTATAGGTGGGTTTATAGTTCAAAAATTACTAGAAACACACACATTCTGACCTCTCCATAGATCTGAGCTGTAATTTGACCTGATTTGGTGTTAAAAAGGTTTAATACCACGCTGTGAAACATTCAAGACAAAGCAATAACATCTCCATTGTGAAAAGCGTTTGGCGGATCCTCCACCAGAAAAGTTACACAATGCACCTATTAAAGTGTTAAAATATTTTACTATATACCCAAATTTGATTGGAATACATAAAATAACTACACTTAACAAACAAGTCTACCACTTAAACTGAGGCGTATGGTTTTCAAATGTCAGTGTGTGCTCTTCCAAACCAAAGTCTGACTCTGGCTTTTCTGTTTTTTCCTCTCTAGAAAAGAAATGGTTTACAGATGAACCGGACAACGCCTATCCCAGGAACATTCAGATCAAGCCCATGAGCACTCACATGGCCAACCAAGTCAACCAATACAAATCCACCAGTAGTCTGATCCCACCAATCAGAGAAGTAGAAGACGAATGCTGAAGCCCGCCTCCTTGTGGACTGCTCTGTAATAGCAGCGGACAGCCGTGGTCAGCGCAGGACTGACGAGCAGGAGGAAGACTGTCATATCTCTCCACTAAAGGGACCTCCTCCAATGTGTATACCTTTAATGTTACTTCCATGCTCGGACATTGTTTATTTATTCTGTGTCCATAGACATGTACATAATGACAATCAGTCAACACGGATTGTACAGCCCCTCTCCCCTAGCACTTTTTGGAATTATTTTAGAGTTGACGGAAAAAAAAGTACTTCCTGTAATTCTCTGCAATAGTTCACCTCTGGATGTGACCAGACTCCATGCCTACAGCTGCTAGAGTGTGGAGAATGAGGGTTACATTTGTGTTTTCAATAATAACGATCATATCATTTCCCTGTGAGTCGCCCGGATGTGTCACGTCAAAGCAGCTGGCCTCGTCTACTTCTGTTCGATTTGCACTAAAAACTGAACACTGCTGACAGAGCAACTGGACCGCCCCAGCCCACTGTCCACTGTCCACACACCGGTCTGACCAGAGAAGGCTGCAGAGAAGGCCACAGAGAAGGCTACTGAGGCTTACTAACCCCAACATCACCTCCTGAGTGTGGCTGTGCGCTAAAGGAGAGGAGACTGTGATGAGTCCATGAGGCAGAAGGCCTGTCCCTCATGTGTCCATGTGTGTGTGTTTGTGAGTGTGAGCGTGAATGAGTGAACATTACAGTGCCATCTTCACCGTCGGCTTACACGATGCTGCACCAGTCAGACTAGCATGTGCGCTCTTATCAAAGCCTTTACAACAAGAATCTAATAGTCTAATAACCATGTGTTGCATTTTCTATCAAACTGAAGCCAACTCTGCCTGAGCTCTGAGCAGCAGCTGTGCACCGCAGCAAACGCCTCTGTGCGCTGTCTGTGATGTAGTGGGATCACCATGAATACTAGTATTACTGAATGTTTGTGTTTGTGTCTGTCTCTACTGGACAGCTCTAATGCCACGTATCGCAAAGTGGGCAAAACGGGTCCTCCCTTGACCGGAGCTCTCGCCTGGCACTGGGCGGGCACAGAGGCAGTAAAGAGCTTGGATGTTCTCTGTGCCCAGCCCATAGTCCCCTGGCCTCTCAGGAGCAGGGCTGCTCAGGAGCTCAGAGCAGGTGGCTGAAAATGCAACACTGTGTGAGCTTCAGTGTGTTCTGACACTGATTCACATGGAACTGTGATCCTCACGTACATGTGGGATTTATGATAGAATTATTTTATATCCATAAGCATAATCAATTTGTACTTATTTTTATAGGAACTCAAAGTGTAATATGAGAAAATATTTATTATTCTATTTAATTAACATGTCATATCCACAATGTTCTGTTGGTCACGATACTTTTAGTTTGATGTTACACTCATGTTGTTGCCCTGTTAACTGGTGTTGTCACTTGAAATCTAATAAGGCTGTAAGGCTTGCATTGAGTCTGGCAGCTCAGCTCTGGGCAATGAACTAATGAAATGCGCTGCTTTTCCATAACACGTTTACTGCTCAGACAGATGTGTCTCATTTGGACTCTTGGACACAGGCTCCTGGGTTAGACTTGTGAATGACCTTCTGTTGTGGTGGATGACCTACATTAGGTTCTTCCAGTGTTTAACTCCTCTCTCCAGTCTCTGCAGGCCTTCTCACACTTTTCATGTGGAAAGTAGAGATCCCATGTGCTCAGTAGTTTAGTGTAAATCCGCCTAAAGCGTAGAATACGTAACATTCAACAAAGCTGAGTTTAGTGTGTGTCTGTGGGCTGTGCTGATGCTAGACTCAAGCCTCATACACATTGTCCTCAAGTGAACTTTACAACTGTGATCCGTCGTCACACTGTAGCAGAATAGACTTCATTTCACCAAATATGTGATTGATGATTATTACACAATATTTGGTACAGCGATGAACATTATACATAGAATGAAAAACGTGAAAAGTGTTTACAAAAAGATAAAAAGATAAAAGTATAATTCGTAAGCAGCACACCAGACGAAATATGATATCAGGTTTATTCTCAACAAAGATGGAAGGTAGCACCAATTCAGCAAGAGAGATCTCCCTTAAGTTTCCAATCGTAACATTATTGTACTGCAGGGTTTACATTCCATTTTGTCAGCTCGTCAAAATCTGTCTCAACTTTTCTCTGTCCTGACTGCTTCTTTGTTTACACAGTATTCTCAAAGTACTTAAGCATAGGAATACTACTATCTACTTTACATGCTGCAAAACTAGCATCCTAAGCTACATCCAAACGCAGTTGTTCACCTCGTAGCGTCAGCTCTGTCTTTCGAATGCTCCTTGCCTGTTTGTTGTTTGGGTCTTTGCATTGTACGTTTTCTTTGAAGTGCCATGAAAAGTTGCATCCTTCAGTCATTCAGATACCCAAGTCCTTGTCGTTTTCCACTGTGAAAACCACGTCTTGCGCTGGTACGGAGAACATCCAAGCCACCAATGCCTCCGTGCCGGCGCCGTGCCAGACAGAGCGAGGGGTCAAGTGGAGGGCCCGGCCAGTCCCACTAAAGCGAGAAGTGGCATTAGCATGAAACATATCAGGTCAGGTGGAGTTATGTAACATGGATGACTGAAGGATACGCTGGGATCATGTGTTCTTAAATCAAAGACAACAAAGCGCTCTACTGTTATTTTTGTTCATCTGTTTTGCTCTAAAGGAAGGGTTTAACTTATTTGCTGGGAATAGTTATGGAAAATTGTAAACTTATGGGATTGGGGGGGTGGGTATCAAGTCTTAAAATATTGCATTCAGCAATTTTATTATTATTATTTTTTAAGAATTGCTTTTTTGTGTTGGCTGCCTGTCAGTTGAGTATAGTTCAGGACACTGCTTAAACCACAAACAGGATCTGTCCACACAGCATCTCACCACACAAAACTGGAGTTGTGTCATTTAAGTCATATTAGTTTGGATGTGTTCAAAATGTAAAGGATACATGGATTATTTGATGGTGCTGAGTTGATCTACCTGACTCTGTCAAATATAATCTGCTGATAATTATATTGTCTTGTACAAAACGTTTGTACATAGATTGTACATGGTTTCTTTTTGTATTTTCTCAAATTAAAATGGATGTATTTGTGTTCTAAAATGGTCTTTTGTCAGTTCATCCAAATTCTAGGCCTACACCCACATGAACTAGCACCACTGTTGGAGCATCACAGTCTGTCTCGCTTTCATGCATCACTCTTACGTTGTGAATGATTTGCCTTTGTGTCTGTCTCATGCAGAACTTTAAACCAGCTGTTACTTCCAAACTGTGGCCTATTATTTTTGCCAGTTGCTTTCTGTTCTCTTCAGTTTAGCAGATAAACCTGCCTTTCTGTACATGTACTGTTATCCCAGTCATATTTATTCCATTTAGGGGCATATATCTGCGTTCACCTAGTCCAGTAGCCTAAACCTTAATTTACTTCATCTTAATTTTTATTATTATTTTATTTTTAAAAAGGCCAAATTAGAAATGTGACCCATTTATTTTTTTTGCATCATTCAAAATTTCCAAACATCAGCTGTGAGAAAAAACTGCATTTGTGAATTTCATTCGATGATTTCTTTGACAAAGAGACATAACTTTGGCACAATTTCACCCAGACTTCTACTGGCGGCCCCCTGACTCACACTACGAGACTTTTGTGAGGAAAAAAAGTGAGTTTTGTAACTTTGCATGTTCACGGTAATCTCTCTGGGATTTTACCATGTTACACAGAAAAAAATATATATATTTTAGTAAAACGGCCTTTTATCAAAACCTACAGTAGATCATGCTTATGTTGTGTTTATTCAAAGAAATATGTGCCCCTGTGCATTCAGGCCTTCCTTTTCATGTCAAATGAAAATCATTAGGCTACATGTATAACGTTGGGTCAGAGGCAGAGGTTGGCAGTACTCAGTAGCCTAGTCAAATACAGTAGACTACTGTGTTTACTTGTGTAATTATTATTTGATTTAATGCATTTTTTATATTAATTTAATATGAATAATAAATAGTTTATCACATGCTACATCCGGGATATTTTCTGTAACGTGTTTACTGCTCAGACAGATGTGTCTCATTTGGACTCTTGGACACAGGGTCCTGGGTTAGACTTGTGAATGACCTTCTGTTGTGGTGGATGACCTACATTAGGTTCTTCAGTGTTTAACTCTTCTCTCCAGTCTCTACAGGCCTTCTCACTCTTCACGTGGAAAGTAGAGATCCCATGTGCTCAGTAGTTTAGTGTAAATCAGCCTAAAGCGTAGAATATTTAACATCAAACAAAGCTGAGTGTGTGTCTGTGGACTGTGCTGATACTAAACTCAAATCTGAATCAATTTTAATGTAAAAATACTTACACAGTTGAATTCACTTTTTGGGTGAATTTATTCTGTTATATCTGTGATGCACACTCCTGTAGGGTACATATATGCAGCTGTTACTTGACTGTCAGTGGATGAACATGTGGCATTTTCCACAGGTTCACTTTGGGAGAGGGCCATGACCCAGTGATCCGAGTCACAGCACCAACCCTCTCCAATCCCTGAGTCTATGATGCTATTAGTCTGGATTTACGTTTATTGGCACGCTGTTAGCCGCTCCATCACGCCCACCTGTCAGGCTGTCAGTCAGGCCGGATCAGGGGAGTGGATGCAATCCTAATCATATTTATTCCATTTTGGGGCAAATATCTGCTCAGGCGCAGACAGCTGATGTGATAAAGGGCATCAGGGCAGGTGTCTGGACATCTGTCACCTCAGCCTATGGGTCACAAACTAAAAAACACTTGATTTCCATGGCTTGGTTTTCCTGATTGCTCTTATTGTATAAATAAATGTACTTTACACATAGGGCCTTTATGTGTGGAGTAGCATGTTTTTCCCTTGTTATGTTATCTTCTTACATGTTGGGCCAAGTATCATTTACTTTTAAACAGCTATATAGGCCTAATAGTAATAAGATGATGTATTATTGCCACCTACTGACCTTTCTATGAATTGCTATAGGCTAGAAACCATATGGTAAAGGATTTTTACTCTAACCCCTGCTGAAGTTGCTTTTATTGATCGTTTATTCTCCAGTAAAGGTTCTGCACGGGCAGTTGCTCCACTTCATTTTGAATTTGCTGTAGGATCCAGAATACGTGCTTCCCCGGTGAATCTCCCTACTTCAGATGGGCGTGATTGACAAGTGGATTAGCCAATCAGTGACATGCGTGGTCTGTCTTTATCAAAACAAATACGACTGCTTACGAGGAATACAAGGGGAAAAGATATCACAAGCACTGAAAAACATTGTGGATTTCTGCAGAACCAATGAGTGAAGCACTAAACTCTGTTAATCTGAGGTATCATTTTGTTTGTAAATGATAGATGAGCTCCTTAGTCATATTTGATTGGACGATCATATTTGGACGATCAGATTTGGTTCTGGCTCGAGATCTGAAGGAAGGCATGCAGACCAGACTGATATCCATCTGTATAAAATTTGCCAGACAACTAAAGCTCAAATAAATCAGCGTTAGAGTGAGCTGCCATTATATCTCTGAGCCTGCCTTACAAAGTCACTCCACAGCTGCTTAAATCTGAAACACAATCTTTCTTCCCACCAATCCATCCAGGCTGACACATCATTGAGACAGTGTAAATGTGGCGTTCCTTATCAAGCTGTCCAAAGCCAGATCGGGTAAACACACAGCCCATACTCTGCCCTTTCATAGTCCAATAACCTTCTTTTGCCCATTGAGTCCACTAGTGTCAAGGGTACGACTGCATCTCCAGAGGATCCTTCAGCTCGCATGGACACCACCAATTCAGAGGTGTGATGATGAGGACGATGACTGTTGAGACGGTGCTCGTAGGACATATAGCGCTGGAGTGGACATCCCAGCCGTCTGTGGACCCTCCTCCTCCACCTCTCCTCCAGCTCAAGTGTGCAATTTCACACTCTTAACGTCAAACAGGCAGTGGCCGGGAGGACGCACTAC